ATCACTTTTGTTTTTTTAATGCCACGCGAACGGAGTTGCGGGCAAAAGCTATGATTTATAAACAATACTGTCGAGGTAACAAAATAAATAATTAAATTCCCAGATTAAAATAATCGAAGTTTTCTTTTTGATTAAAATTCGCTCTATATTTTGATATCACAAACCGAACCCTGTTTATTATCTAACTATACTAATATTATAAAGGGAAAAATTTTGTTTCATTGTAATGAATAGGATCAAATACTACTGGGCCGATTTTAAAAATTCTCTCACCGTTAGTAAAGTAATTTATCTGTGAATAAAATAGGCTATAATTTTTTAATTGTTTATTATTATTTTTAAGCTAGTTAGTAAAAAAATATTGTTTTATAAATGATCCATTTCAAAATATATAGTTAAAACGATTTGTCCCGTTTTAGGTGGCATTTGGAATCATGAAAAATATCGCGATAAATTCTTTCAAACAGACAAGATATTTCAATTTAGATCTTTAAAAGTGGATGAGATATTTTGAATTTGGAACATTATTCTTCGTAAATACATTCGTTTTTAGAATATAAGTGGCCAGTGCGGTAAAAGGTATTTTACTTTTAATTTTATGACACTGAAACACTGTTAGACAATTAATTTTAAAACATTGTAAATATGTATTTGTTTTCGATGTACAAAATTTTATTTTAATTTAAAAAATATACAACTAAGTAAAATGGAAGGAAGCGACGATGAAAACAACCGTTACAAATGCATTTCCAGACTGTACAAAAATATTCCGAGCACAATTAGAGCCATTTAGTCAGACAATACGAGAAATGTAGGTCTCTGTACGGAGTTTTACATCGTTATAAGACCTTTGTGGTTTGAAACTCGTTTGTTTTATGCGTTGTAGTTTTAAAAGAACTTTATTTAACTATGTCAAGTTTAAATAAAAATATACGTATTTTATATTAATTAATCTTCCCTTCTGACTATATTTTATTCTTAGTTAATACTAGCTTTCGCCCGCGACTCAGTCTGCGTGGAATAAAAAAAACAAAAGCGAGTAGCCTATGTGTTCTTCCACGTCTATGCCAATTTCATCGAAATCCGTTCAGCCGTTTAAGCTACAAACTCTAACAAACATCCATCAATAGATCCAAACTTTCGCATTTGTTACATTAGCATGATTATAACTAAATACGATTTTTTAGATGAACGGATATTTTTTAGAATTTGTAGTTTAAACTGCTAAACGGATCTCAATGAAATTTGACGTAGAGAGTGTAGGGGATAATCTGGAAGAACACATTTTAAACACAGGGTCCTTCAAGAAGCGAGCCTGTCATTTCCTCAAAGGCCGGCAACGCATCTGTAGTTCCTCTGGTGTTGCGGATATCCATGGGGTCGTTGACCACCTTGATGTTTACGCCGCTCGTTTGCCCCCTTTTATTATAAAAAAACATAGGCCTACGGAGTTGCGGTCGAAAGCTAGTTATTAATATTACAACTCTAATATAAATGTAATCCGATTAAATGAGAATATTACAGGAATTGGATAAAGCAATCGATTATATCAACTTCCATAATCGTTGCCTAAAACTGTTATGAATCATGATAAATTTGTTCGAAGAGTAACTTTAACTGTCTACCTTAAAGCAATCTATTATTTTAACATTATAATTATAACCTTATTTGCGTTTTTTACTTAATTTGGATGGATTGCGTGAAAGGTGACATGATCAAGAAGGGAGTGATGACTGAGATGATGGATGATAGAGTGCTTTGGAGGACGAAAAACTCGCCGACCCTCCGGAGTAGGATAAGGCAGGGAAGATGATGATGAATTATAAACTTATTTGTTCAGAAGTTATTTTACTAGCTGTTCCCGTGCGGCTTCATCCGCATGAAATTAAAAAAAAAAATATTTTATTGTTTACATTTGACAAATTATCAATAGCAAATGTCAAAATGACATGACATGACAAACCTCGGCAATCTTGCTTCCTTGATATTGGCAGCAACTTATGGTCTCTTTCCCACATTGGGGTTTTTATCCAAATTATTTACCCCCTAAGTTTAATGGTGTAAAAATATGTAGCCTATAGCGTGACGTAAGTGTAGGGTTTTTTTTATTAAAGAAAGTATTATTAAAAATATGCTGTAATTGCCAACATCTTAGGCAACAAAGAAGTGTGTGTTTACGCTTCATTATAATAGTATAGAAGTATAAATAGATTCAGTTTCACAGATTATAAAACTTAAGAACGATATAGGTGTTGTGTCACCTTTATGCCTAAAATCATTATAATTGTTTGTTTGACATATCCAAACTCTTAAAAAAACATTAAATATTCTTGATACTTTGTTTTTCGCAAATTTTAATAACCACACAGCTAGGAATGTAAATGTTTTAGGTTATTTATTGTAATTTATGGTTTGATTCAAGTTTTGTTTGAACAAATGAGTTAAACAATCAAATTAGAATTTTATGGGCCGAATAAGGCTTCGCGGTATAACTTTTCTAATTATGTTTGGCTTCGTTTCTAAATCAGTTAAATTAAATTAATATTAAAATGGTACATTATTATTAATTCAACCTAGTAATATTCATGGATATATGGATATGGATGGATGGATACTGTTATTATTTTATAGGTAATACTTTACAATATCGAAACATCCAGAATTTTCATAAAATTTACTTTAAACGATAGGAAATAATCTATTTAACATAGTATTAAAGTTTTTTTTAGGTCGTAACTTATTACCAAGAAAAATTGTATAGGTTAGTTTATCTATAGAACAGTTTAAATGAAATAAAAAATAGATCATTTAAAAATCGATTATAAAACAAACAGTTTAGGTTATGTTGTGTTTTAATCATTTTTAAATTGAGAAGCAAAAATGTTTGTTGTGCGTCAACTATTAATTGTGATTTTTATAAAAATCATGAGTGCACATACCTATTACTATGGTAAAGTACAAAACTAGTATTTTTCTTCGAAATTAATTACAACCCCCAAAAAGAAACTTCATAACTATGTAAATAAGACAATTTCCTTTAATAGTTTAAAGTAAATTTTATGAAAAATCGGTATGATTTGCTATTGTAAAGTGTTACCTTTTATTAAAGTTACTACATTCGAAAATGTTCATTATTATAAATACATTGTTATAAATTTAAAAACTTTATCTTGCCTTCAGAAGATATTGTGTAAACAATTTACCTTTTCATTTTATAAGATAATCTATTTTCAACTCTCGTGTCTCGAAGCCACGCCCCGTCGATGCCTTTACGATCTCACCGGACTGAAACGTACACGGATATATTAAATTATACTGGATGTGGCATCTTTACTTTGTTTCGAATATCTTATTGTTATTTAGTTTACGATCGATCACGAAAATCACATTTACAATTATACACAATAAAATAGTAATTATTTATTTTTCAAATACACTTTGTACTGTGGTACATATAGTAATGTTCTTTCTTAAATTGTTACAGACTAGCTGTTGCGACTTCGCCTACGTGAAATTTAAAAAAAAAGTAAAGTCTATGGTTCTCACAGATAAATTACCTTTCTGACGGTGATATAATTTTAAAAATCGACCCAGTAGTTTTTGAGTTATTTCAATACCATCCTCACTATGTCGATAGCTGACATTCCACAACCGTGTTTTCACGGAACTTTCTGCTCCGCACAGCCGCGTTGTTGAACGTTCTGTCCTCGGCGGTATTTCCAAACTAGTACGACGTAGGGTCCTTCAAGAAGCGAGCCTACAATTTTTTCAAAGGCCGGTACCGCATCTTTAGTTCCTATAGTGTTGCGGATGTCCATGGGCGTCGCTGACCACCGTTGTGTTCCGGCCGCTCTCGTATAAATAATACATACAAAAACCAAAACAATCTAAAAATACAAATATTTACTCGTTATACTATTGGTATAGATAGGAAGGGAAATTGGACTTCAGTACTGTTAACTTTTTTTACTAGGACATTTGTACTGCGGTATATCAAGCCAGATGTTGTATGTTCACGTTTTTTACATCTATGTACATTTCAACGCATGTAAGTGTACAACCGCAGTGATATATTACGACTTAAACGTTTATTTATTACGGGTTAAAAGTTTCTTAGGTCAGACCGTAACTTACACGGTCATGCAAGTTTCTGTATAAATAAAAAAAAACAATTCTTTGTCATTTAAGATAGGATTAACATAGACGAACATTTGGTGGTCGTGATTCGTAATAAGTTATTAAAACTTGGCTTGGAAGAATATATGGGAAAAGAGACCTTTAAGTGACTATGCTATTTTTCACACTTTTCCTAACTCTTAGGACTCTGCTGATAAGTACCGGTCTTGTTGAAATGAAGTGCTTGCCGACCATGGGATCTTAGTTTATAAATCTAATGGAATATGAAAATAGAAATCATAAAAAAGAATTGTTGTGACAGGAAGTACTACTAAATCTAAAGTACTAAGGATTATAAATCAGAAAGCTAATCACTTTCTTAAGCAGTTGTCAAGATTAGCTTCCACAAACACAGATAAAACTGAAACAAATAGTAATTAGTATTCAGACAATTTTAATCGAATTGGATAAGAAACGGTTATTACGGAGCCAAAGAGTTAGAGGCCCAGTTTAATCTACTGCTCTACTTTAAAAAGGAAATGAAAATTAAACTGAAAAAAGTTGTTCGCTAGTCGAAACTCTGAAACCATCTCAAACGATTCCAGAAGTTGATTGCATAAAAAAAATTAAAAACAAAACAAATAGGAGCAACTTCAGAGGTGGGTAAGTGGGATACGGGGATAATGTCTGAGAAATTATGATGTTACTATATCATTATCATCATCATCATCATCAGTCTAAGGTCGTCCACTGCTGAAGGTTACTCTATATTAAACGTTAAATAACACTGTCAAAACATAACTCGTTTGCTCTTTGGTCGATTGTCACTTGTCACAAAACGTAGAGAACAGCTGTCATTTGTCAGTTGTTTGTCAGTCGGATTTTTGACGCCATTCAACAGACGTGTATTCATCCCAATTGTTATTTTTTACTATAAGTTTTTAAATGATTCTAAAAAATGTACATTTACGAGTTACCATTTGAAGTGAACAGAGAGTTGTGTAGATTGCTCGACAATGACGAAGAATGGAAGGAATTAGCTGGTGTTCATATGAGATATTCACCTTTTGATGTTAACGTGAGTATGATAATTTTAATTTTCGACGTAACATTTGGATTTTCCCTTGCGCGAGAGTCTCGAAACCCATTGGGTATTCCCAAAATCTCTTGTTGTTCTCACGTAAGCGGCACATTCATGTTATAAGTTAGTCTTACTAATAAAATTGCGAAAGTTTGTTTGTTAGAAGGTATCTTTTAAACAGATCTTAATGAAATTTTGCACATATGTAAAACATAGTCTGGAATAACACATTAACCACTATCCATCTCTTTAATTACGTGTGGACGGAGTTGCGGATAACAGTTTATTTATAAATTAAACTACAAAAATATGTATTCACATATTTCCTGTTTGAAACATGCTGATTTATAGTAAACATCTGGTCGATATAACTTCGTCAATGAAACTATTACAGCATAGTTATAAATTGAATGGTTTACACATGGAAATACCTTTTTCTTATTAACAATACCCATTTTCTATACTAATATTAAAAAGAGGAAAGATTTGTATTTTTTATTTATTGAAATAACTTAAAAACTACCGGGCTGATTTTAAAAGTTATAGTAACATGGACTGTATTTTTTAAAATCACGGGGACAAAGCCTAGAAAAAAACAGTCCTAAATAAACATACTTATGTTTCAGTAACTTATGACTAAGTACCTAATGCAGAGCATAAATGTGAGGCGAAACAAAATGCCAGGTGTCTTTTGTAGGGGTGAACTGCCTGTGTTTTCATTTACAAAACAAAACACCATCAATTAGTTGTCAAAGTTTTAAGAAACTCTCAATCTATATGTTAAAAGTCTATGGTAGTTCAAAATGTTTTAAAAGATGGAATCAAGATGTACTAATTTGTGACCCAATATTTTAACTATATTTTAGGAGATAGAAAGAGAAGCAAAGCATAAAGTATTATCACCGACCGCACAGCTGTTTATAAAATGGGGCCAACTTAACCATAGAGTAGAAGAACTTTTCATTCTTCTGTACCGAATGAAGCATGTACCAGCTCTGAGATGTTTAGTACCAGTAGTGGATAGCCGGTTCCACAGACTGTTAAGCAAGCATGATGTAACTCGAAGTGTTAAGTCAAAGAATTCTGATGTTGGTGAGTATTATGACATATCATAGATTAAAAATTCTATTATGGCAAAGAATAAATTGACATGATAGACTGGTATGATAGTGAGTTTGTAGTTTTAGACCAAATTAAGCTGATATTCTTTTATCTATACTTTGGAGAAGTATTGATAAGTTAAAATTTAGTGTATTAGCACTTAAGTTAAAAGTGTATGTAATACAATTTAACTGAATAGACACAATTTTAACTGAACGGTTAAAACAGTAGTTGTTGAATAATAAGTTTCTTATTATTATAAATTTTAATTCACATTTTACGAGATCGTTCTCAACATCTCCCCTATGTTATCCAATTCCTGTAGAGTCTGTCATCCGTCATCTCAGTCATTACTCCATTCATGATCATGTCACTTTTCACGCAATTCGTCCATCTCTTTCTAGGTCTACATCTACCGGTGTACCTCCACACTCATAACTAACATTCCTTGTTACATTTCATCCCTCATAACATGCCCATAGTACGCTAACCTTTACTCCTTAATTTCTCCAGTTATTTTTTTTCGTTTTTATAAAATCACAAATGCTATATATAAATGTATGATTTACGTCGGTTGCAAACCGGCACTATGCATTTACACGTCATTGATGTGAGGTCAATAACAAGGAAAATGGCATCAATTCTTAGTAAAAGTTGAATCCTAGTAGACAACATATCAAATGTTAAGTTTCCGATAAAAATATTGTCATTGTTAACGTAATTTTTTTTTTATTTAGATTCATTTACAGTCGCGGAAATTGTTATTTCATTGAAAAATTATTTTATTCCTTGCAACGAGATAACCGCCGCGTTTTGTAATTGTCAATTTGCCCTTATCCCTTATGAAGGGACGGCGCGGTCGTTGTAATTAGCCTTATATGATCTTTTTTATAAAGGCATTTAAATGCTGGTTATTGTTTCATCTTTTAAGGTACCGACAGATTACCTGACTGTACTTTACATATTTTCTGTCGAGGTAATTTTTTTATGAATGTGATTGTAAGTATTAATATATACAACAATCTTACTTCTTACTAATATTTTACATGCGAAAGTTTAGATGGATGGATGTTTGTTAGAGTTTGTAGCCTAAACGGCTGAACGGATCTCGATGAAATTTTGCATAGATGTAGAGGATAGTCTGGAAGAACACATAGGCAAATCACTTTTGTTTTTTTAATTTCCAAGCGGACGGAATCGAAAGCTATTCCAAACATGAACAATAGTATTGGATCTTATATTATATAAGGTGAATTTGAAAATGCTTATGTAAATCTTGCTTTCTCTTGAATCATCTTAAGTTTTCACTAAATATCACTTTAGAATATCTCAAAATTGCAATATTTAAATGAATAATCTTATATAGTATTCTCGTACGTAAAATCGGCCGGTGACGTCACACGCGACGCGGGTCGCGGTAAGTGTTAGTGGGAGGCGGGGGGCGATTGTTTACGATATTTCGTTTTATTTAAAAACTGGTTATATCTCGATCAAAACATGCGTCCGAAGATAATCCCTAAAATAGTTTAAGTATTTATTATATATTAGCTTTCGCCCGCGACTCCGTTCGCGTTGGATTCAAAAAACTGAGTAGCCTATGTGTTCTTCCAGACTATGTCTATGCCAAATTACATCTAGATCCATTCAGTCTTTTAGGCTACAAACATCCATCCATCTAAACATTATCATTTATAATATTAGTAAGATATTTTTTTTTAAATGCGATAGTTCTTTTGAAATGTTATCCCGTTTAGTATATTAATTTATTTTAAAATACGCCAATTTTTTATTATTTTCTTTTACAGATAATGTTAAACGTCCAGCAAAAATGGAAGGAAGTAACAGTTCAATACCGATACCTGTAATGCTCATGCAAAATGTAAGTTTTTTTTTACTTTTTTAAACTAAAAACTCTTGTACGTGTAATTTGACAGAGTAATGTGGATACGTTATGCTATGTCAATATTTACTTACTAAATGCAGAAAAATGTTTAATTTTTTCACAATAAGGAAAGTTCCACATATTTCTGGACAGGCTATACAAAAATTATACTATGCTATACTATATTATTATAGCGAAAGTTTAGATGGAGAGGCCTAGTTTTAGTCCCTTTTCCTATTCACCCTTTTCTTAAGAGGAAAAGATGGGAAGGAAATGTGGTGGAGAAGACGCATAGGAAGGGGAAATGTCCTCTTTATGTGCATCTCCCCCTCCGTCAATTAAGGATAGGTAACGCATCTACAATTGCGGATGTTTATGGGCAGCGGTCGCTTTCCATTTCGGTGGATTCAGGTGGCCGCTTGCTCGTTTGCCACCTTATGCTATAAAAAAAAGTTTGCCACCTAAACTTCTAAAAAAGGTGTCGATGAAAATTTGTCATAAATGTAGAACATAGTCTGGAAAAACAGGTAGCCTTCTTACTTTTTTTTATTCTATGCGGACGGAGTCGCAGGCAAGAGCTAGTAATAATAAAAATGTTTGAGTATTGCAAGCAGATATTCACTGTAAATGATATGCCAATTTTGTCTTCATTCAGAGTCTATTTTCCTTAAAACTTGAATTTAAAAATATTTCCAATCGTAAACAAATCATTTACAATTTTTATTTCCGAATACGATGTAGATGGTAAGGAAAGGTCATGTAAAAGCCTTTTATGGTTCGATTTACACCATGTTTTTAACTGCCAAGAGTTCAAAGGTTAAGGGTACGGACCGATATATCGGTTGTAGGTTCGAAGTTCATTCTACTACTAAAGCTAATACAGGGGTGGTCAACCCTTACGTGACGATGTATCATTTTTCGGCGTATTCCCAACCGTCACCCCGCTCTGTCCTCACGCGGAGACAGATAAGAAAAAAAAGTTTTATCCGTCCTAAATAAAAAAAATATATACTACTAGCTGTTCCTCCCGAATTCATCCGCATTAAATTATGAAAACTTTATTTTATTGTTTACATGTGTCAAATTATCAATTGCAAATGTCAAAATACCCCATACCTTACTATGGCAATTTTGCTTCCTTGATGTTAGCAGCAACTTATGTTCTTTCCCAGATTAGGGTTTTTATCCAAAACATTTTCCCCCTAAGTTGAATGGCGTGAAAATATATAGCCTAAAGCGTGACGTAATTGTAGGGCTTTTTATTGAAATAAGACTTATTCAAAAATATGCTGTAATTGCTGACATCTTAGGCAACGAAGAAGTGTGTGTTTACGCTTTATTATAATAGTATAGATATAGATAAAATATGTACTAAAACGACATTTATGTAGAGCGTCTTAAATAAACACGCTTTAACTCCAAATTGAATTGGAAATTTTATACCTCTGTCAGATAATTTACGATTATAAAGAAAAGTGCTAAGGTTCATTTTAGTATTGGCCAGTTTTTGTAATCGAAATTTACTTTCTTTTTCAGGGTATAAGTCATATGTTACCGAACATAAGGTCACTTGAAGCGCTAAGTAATGGAGACTCCAGTTTACAGTCCAGCTCGGTAAGTTGCCATGTTACTGTAAGATTGTGATTTTAGTCAATTTAAAGTTTCACTATTGTAATAAAAGTTTTTAAAATATTTTTATATGCCACTTTCGTCTATGACTTCGTCCGCGTGGAGTTACAAAAATCTTAATGAGTCGCCCATGTGGTATTCCAGACGATTCCTAATTTAAGCGAGATCCGTTAACCATTTAGGCTACAAACTCTAACAAACAAACTTTCGCTTTTATAATATTAGTAAGTAGTAATTAGCTGTCGACCGCGGCTTCGTCCGTCTGGAATAAAAAAGCGAGTATCCTATGTGTTCTTCCAGACTATTCTCTATGTCTTTACTTTCATCGAGATCCGTTCAGCGGTTTAAGCTACAAATTCTAACAAGGATCCATCTAAACTTTCGCATTTATAATATAGATTTAAGACCTGTCGCACCAAATTGTAAATTGTCTGATAATACAACGTGTAAAATATGTGATGGTAATATCGGAATTTATTACCTTATCTGATAGTGACGTCATTTTAAGCTATCTGAGACACTATCAGCCAGTGATGGGATAGGCCCTTAAATTTGTAATTTATTACGTAAAAATGTAAAGTAATTTCACTTAGTTTGTTTTAAACGTTCAGTATTAGTCATAAAATTGACTTTTTCCTGTTAATATGCCTAATGTTCAAAGTTCACGATAGGTCATAAATATAGGTTGTCAGTAACTTGTTTTGTGCGGTTTTATACAAATACATTAATATTTCAGATGTGTCGTTCTGAATGGTTAGTCATTTACCTTATTTGGGTAGTTGTATTCTTGCGAAATACATAAGAATACAATTTCGAAATATATGTTACTAATATGAAGAGGAAAGATTTGTATTTTTAAATAATAACTAAATCTGCGACTGAGTTCAAATAATTTCTCTGTTAAAATGCTACGTTCTTTGAGTAACATAGGCTATATTTTTTTTAATCCCACTTGGACGAATTTGCGAGTATAGTTATTATAAATGCGAAAGTTTTGATGGATGTTTCTTAGATTGTAGCCTAAACGGCTGAATGGATCTCAATGAAATTTGGCATAGATGTAGAGTGACTATGCTCTGAAGAAGCTGCTTGCTTTTTTTTTAATTCAACGCGGACTGTGTCACGGGTGAAATCTAGTGTTTCAAATATATTTGGCAACAAATGTTTGGAATTCGATGGCTCCTACGTACTATCCTAAGACGTAATTTTAATATTCATCATGTTTTTTTTTTATTGACTTGATGAGTAATCCAAAGAACTATGGATTTCGTTGTTTATAGTATGTCCATGTTTGACGCATATTAATCTCATGAATGTTTAGTTTTGTTTTGTGTTTTGTACTTTCACTACTTTACGTAGGAGCCACCGATGCGTTACAGTTTGACTGACAGTATTGGGTCGTTTGTATTCTCCCTTAGATCCTGCGCATTTGACTAAACTATCGCACAACTGTTAGTCACGCTTTGATTCGTAAGAGCTTACACTACTCGATTTTTAATTGTGCGACTAAACAGTTGAATTGGCTGCGAAATAATCGATAATCAACAGTTGTGCGATAGTGTAGTCATATGCCCGCTCTTATAAGGCAATTGTCAAAGTAACTACATGTTTTTAGAATAATACAAGTGGTGACGACTCTAATTTGAAAACGCCTTCAAATCTTAATGATGAGTTGATAAAGAAGATATCAGCAATACCAATGGTACATTACGAGGAACTGAAAGCAGCAACAGACAACTGGAGCGAAAGTAATCTATTAGGAAAAGGTGGATTCGGACAGGTTTATAAAGGTTAATATCATTTTTTTTTTATAATTTAGAGTGGCAAACGAACAAGCAGCCACCTGAATCCACCGAAATGGAAAGCGACCGCTGCCATAAACATCCGCAATTGCAAAACGTTGCCTACCCTTAATCGACGGAGGAGAAGACGCACATAAAGAGGACATTTCCCCTTCCTATGCGTCTCCACCGTTAAATCCACTGATCCTTCCCATCCTTTCCACTTAAGAAAAGGGTGGAAAGGGATAGGAACTAAAATTGGCCTCCGGCATCGCATCAGAGTAAACGCGGAATTGTTGACTTCACGCGCCTGTCTTCTGTGTGGTCGTGGTATTGCTGGGGCGAGCTGGTCCTACAGTGCGAAGATGTTAAAGCGGGCTCTACCGCTGTTACTTACCACTGTCATTACCAGCTCACTATATCCCCACTAAGATCGGAGTCTACCGTAAGTTAGGGACTAGGCCTTAGTCGGATTATTCCCAACCGTCACTCCCCGCTGTCCCCGCGTGGGGACAGATGAGAATAAAAGGTCCATCCGTTTCACCTTTTGTGATGAGGAAACGGTTAGAATTTATTTTGTTTAACGGTTTCATCTGTCATCTTATTGGCGATAGTGGGACTAAAAGGTGGGACGGATGAACCTATTATCATATGTCCTCACTTGTGGAAAAAGCGGGGTGACGGTTGGGAATAATCCCTTTAGTCAACCTGCAATGCGGGTTGACTTTATACGTCTTTGAATTTCTTCTCCGATATGTGGGTCATGACGTTTTCCTTCACCGTAAGTAGGTCGGGTTTCACATTTACATTGGTACGGTGGGATTCGAACCCGAGACCAGTAGATTACAAGTCAAGTATATACAATTTTTTTCCTCTTTATAATATTAGTCTTTTTATAGGTGTGTGGAAGCTGTCAGCTGTTGCTGTCAAACGTCTGTTGACAAGCGACTGCAGTAATAATAAGGAGTTGATAGGAGAAATGTGTCTCAATCAGTACAGACATGATAATATCCTACCACTTTACGGGTACAGTCTTGGTGGTAAGTATTTTGTTTTACACTTACAGACGAGGGAATATGCATGTATTTTTTTTAACGATTTTACTTTTTATAAAATAACCAGAAAAAAATGACGCGAAAATATTCAACCATTGAGCTAAAAATAATAAAATAATATTACGACCATTTTCTAGCGACTAAAACGCGACCGGAGTTGTCAATAGACAATTGACGTCAATCGTCTTATTCCATTCATAACATACGCTCAGATGTCACTTCGACATAAAACACAACAAAGTTTCTCAAGGTCAAAAAGTCAAAAATCGATTCATTTTTATTATTCCTGGTACAAATAAGTGGTAATTAATAATTCTATTCATTAATTTTTTATTTTATAGTTGGTTTTGATATCGTGTTTACAGTAAAATACTTCAAGAATTTATTTCAATATAAACTAACGTAAATGAACTGTGTATTGACAACACAGCGACGCCATATTAGATAAGCCACTTGCTTCGACCAATAGTGTGCGATTTAGAACTTAGCGAGGAAATTTGAAAAAAGACACTTTTTAATGATTAAATATTGCCACTAAATCACATTATATTTAAAAAAAAACTTTGTAGGACTGTTTTTATAGTAATAAAGTATACTTTAAAAAAGTTTGGTACAATTTGGCGTCATATGCATATTGCCTATTGAAAGATGTTGGGTAAGGTGGCGTATGTGATGATGATGATGTGTGTGGAGGTCCGGAGGCGTGCCTGGTGTACCAGTACATGTCTGGCGGGTCGCTGGAGAAGCGGCTGCGCTGCCGCACCGCGCACCCGCCGCTCACCTGGCCGCAGCGCTACAAGATCGCACACGGCGTCGCCAGGTACTGTACACACGATATATACACAAATTACACATTCACCACCACCTCACCTCACCACACTAACGTCCCTTGACCCTTAAATACATGATTAACTGTGGTAGAGCCCGCTTTAACAGCTTCGCAATACAACGACCACATGGACGGGCGTCAAGTAGGAGCAATTCCGTGTACGCAAGTGTGGTGCCGGAAACCCAACTTTAGGCCCTTTTTCTTCCCACCCTTTTTCTCATAAAAATAGGATGGAACATGGATTTCATGCATAGAAGGGTAAGTATCCTCTTTATATGCATCTTCTCCGTCGATTTAGGGTAAGCAACGCATCTGCTATTGCGCATGTCTATGGCAGCGGTGGCTTCGCCATTTTGGCGGATTCAGGTGGCCGCTTGCTCGTTTGCCACCTTATAACGTAAAAAAAGTCAATACAATGCAGCTTATGTTTCTATATGAATAAAATTCGGTTAATCATACACGGCTAGTTCCTTTTTATCCCTTTTTGCACTCGCTGCTATCTAATTATTTGTAGAAAGTGCAGTTTGTTTCGAATAAGGCAATCTTTCCTAAAAAGAAACACTGGTGATCTCCGCGATTCATCATCCACTAGCCCTTATCCCTTATGGAGGGTCGGCACAGTATGTGCTGCTCTTCCATACATCTCTATCAGCCGTCATATCTGAATCCACTCCTTTCTTAAGCATATCTTTCACACAATCCATCCATACTTTCCTCCGTCTTCCTCTTCTTTCGTAGCCATCCACATTCAATCTTAACGCTTTCTGGTTTATGTCCCCATCTCGTCGCATAACATGTCCATACCACGCTAACCTTTTGCTTCTCAATTTCTCCACCACTGGCGCTACTTTCAAACTACTTTCTGCGATTATTTATATGAAATTCGAAAATCACATTGGTTCAAGTTTGATTTTCCAGAGGTCTTCAATATCTGCACACGATGGCGGGCACCCCCCTCATCCATGGCGACATCAAGCCTGGCAACATCCTGCTGGACCAGTGCATCATGCCCAAGATCGGAGACTTCGGTCTCGCGAGGAAGGGACCATATGGGGAAGAACGAACTCATATGAAAGTTTCAAGGTAATTTATTTATTTCTTTATAGAAAAAAATACTTTTTCCCATCATCATCATCATCATCACCAGCTCACTATACGTCCCCACCGAGGGGCTCGGAGCCTACCCTAATATGGGGTGACTAGGCCTTTTCCTATATGACTGATATAATATTTCCTTATTTACTCAATTATATTAAGATCTAGCTGTTCCCGTACGGCTTCATCCGCATGAAATTATGAAAATTTTATTTTATTTTTTACATTTGTCAAATTATCAATAGTAAATGTCAAAATGTTACGGACGGTTCTAAAAGCGATCAGGGTCTAGGGGTTGGCATTTATGACCAAACTGTAAATCAGAGCTTTGGATACAAAATTAATTCGGATGTTTCAATAATGACTTTGGAACTCATTGCAATATCACAGGCATTGTATTATTCTATCCGCCGTCAAGTAAATAATATTGCCATATTTACTGACAGCAAGAGCGCTTTACAACATCTAGCTCGTTGCGCCTCTGGTTACAGAGGACTAACGATAGCCTATGATGTCCTAAAATCTATTTATACCTTGCTGAATAGTGGTTCAGAGGTGAGGCTGCAATGGGTTCCAGCTCATGTTGGTCTAAAGGGAAACGAGCTGGCAGATCGTACAGCTAAGCTAGCGGCTGTTAGTGATAATGTTCTGGACTTTATTCCTGATCACGTAGAATATATATCTAAATTCAAAATTTCATGCATCAAAATTTGGAATCACATGTATCAAGAAATTTCAAAACAGAAAGGCATTTGGTATAGGGCCATACAAAGCGAGCCACTCAATTATCCCTGGTTCTCGGGCGGGTTGAGCAGAATACATGTGAGAGCAGCGCTAAGACTACGATCTGGCCACTATCCAACAGCAAGTTTTGGATATCTGATGAGGAAAAACCTGTCGCCTAATTGCGAGATATGCAGAAAACCAGAAGATATCCAACACTTGCTGTTGGAGTGTGAGAGAAACAGACGGGAGCGCGAGCTAATTTTCCGGGAGCTAAAGCTCAACCCGTCCGACGTAGGCATAATTATGTCAATATTGGCTGAGCCAGCATCTGAAGCGGCTGTACGATTATGCCAGCTCGTTTCTTAGGATCTAGTAGCAGCACTATGGGATTGACATGTCTTTCCCAAGACAAAAATCCCCTTTACCCAAGTAAGATTAAAAAAAAAAATGTCAAAATGACATGACAACCTTGGCAATCTTTCTTTCTTGATGTTGGCAGCAACTTATGGTCTCTTTTCCACTTTAGGGTTTTTGTCCAAAATATTTACCCCTAAGTTAATTGGCGTGAAAATATTCAAAAATGTGATGTAATTGCTGACGGGCAACAAAGAAGTGTGCGTTTACGCTTTATTATAATACGTATAGATATAGGTGAATTGAAAATGAATAAAAAATGTCCCTATAGCTAATCAAAAATGTAAAAATAAAATATACTCTAACTTCTTTTCTTACATCTTACTAGTATTATAAATGTGAAAGTTTAGATGGATGTTTGTTAATTTGTAGCCTAAACTGCTGACCGGATCTCGTTGAAATTTGGAAAACATCTACACTATAATATTATAAAGAGGAAAGATTTATATTTGTTTGTATTGAAAAAACTCTTAATCTACTGGGTCGATTTTAAAAATTCTTTCACCGTTAGAAAGGAAAGGAAAATTTATCTGTGAGTAACATTGGCTATGTTTCTTATTATTAATTCCACAAGGACGAAGTCAAGAACGACAACTAGTATAGAATATAGTCTGGCAGAACACATTGGCTACTTACTAAGTTATTTTCAAATTTAAATGGAGTCTTGGGGTGTTATTTCGGAATAATTCAAATATATGTATAAAATCAACTCTCAGCAGAGTTGATTAAATACTAGTCACCCTTAGGGTAGGTTTAGAGCCCCTTAGTAATGTCTTATAGTGAGTTATTGCTTATTTCCGCAGAGTTCACGGCACGCGGCCGTATTTACCTGACGAGTACTTACGCTCCCACTACCTGTCGCCGGCAGTGGACGTGTTCAGCTACGGCGTGGTGATGCTGGAGCTGGCCACCGCGCTGCCAGTGCTGGACAGGACCAGGACAGTCCAGTTGCTGAGGGACTACATCATACAGTTACAGAACAGACCCGCTTTAGATCTAGGTATGTATTATGTTGAGATACGTTTTGTAATAATTTGGAGTATCCGTCTCGAAGGACCATTTATTAAAGTTGCGTTTTTAATAATTACCGTTACCATGACGACCTTGCTTTCTTGTCAGCTTGTGGTTTTTATCCCTTTCCCCCGTTTTTTCAATTTATTTATCTCTTAAGTTTAATAGCGTGGAAACATATAGACTATAGCGTGTCGTATGCAAGTTTTTTTTTTTTTTATAAAAAAAAGTGTTATTCAAAAACATGCTGTGATTGCTGATATGCTACGTAACTAAGTAGTGTGTGATGCTTTATTATATTAGTTTAGATTTTGATTTGTCTCCAGCTCGAAGGACCATTTGTAAAGATTATTTTTTATGAGAGTTCGTCTACGACTTCGTTTACACAATTATTTTTAATGGTCGTCTATGTTCCCTCGTATATTTCTTTCCGTCAGTCTCGTCAAAATCGGTCCAGTCTTGACAAATTACCCAATTTTTATAGATACAAGTTTGATAGATATTTAATATAAGAGATCTCTGTAAGGCAGTTAAGCAAAATGAGAATGCCAAGTCGAGTAAGTTAAGTATAACTTGGCAGCGTCCCTCGAGGACCGCAACATCCAGGGCAGCGTGCACTCCAACCCCGCGCTGTGCAGGGAGATCATCTACATCGGGCTGCACTGTACGCGCTACGAGCGGCACGAGCGGCCCGCCATGCTGCACGTCTACAAGCAGCTGGACAGCATGCATGTACCTGACTGCTACTGACCATCATCAGCTCACTTTAGGTCCCCACCGAGGGGTTTGGAGCCTACCCTAAGATTTTTTTATGGGCGGCTCTGTGCCGCCCTCTCGTCAGCATCCTCTTGCCCTTATCCCTTACGGAGGGTCAGCACAGTATGTGCTACTCTTCCATATATCTCTATCAGCCGTCATATCTGAATCCACTTCTTTCTTAAAGATATCCTCTTTCACACAATCCATCCATACTTTCTTCGGTCTTCCTCTTCCTTTGTAGCCTTATTCATTCTTAACACTTTCAGGTTTATGTCCCCATCGTCTCGTGGCATAACATGTCGCCCTCTCGTACTCCTAATATAAAGATCAGGGACTTTTTTGACCTGGGTACTTTTATCTTCTTTTTTATTTTGTTTTTTTTTTTGTAAAAACATTGAATAAGACGATTGACGTTTGTCTCATGTCAACTCCGGTGGCGTTTTAGTCGCTATTTATTATTTTTAGCTCAATGGTTGAATATTTTCGCGTCAATTTTTTTTCTGGTTATTTTATGACAAGTAGAAGCGTTTAAAAATAGAAAAAAAATACATGCATATTTGAATTTATATATATTTATAGTTTCCTATTGAAATTATACATAAAATTGCATTGAGTGAAGAATAATGTATACTAAAGGAGGACAATGTATACTGAGAGTGTATTATACAGAAGTAGGACGTAGTATACACAAAAAGGATGTCATTTCGAAGATATCTAGATGTCAGTGCCATTTTATTTATCTATTTCTGCTAAAAAGCATCTGAAAGTATCTTGAATTATACATTGTATGGGGCGTGCTCAATGTATGGATAATTGTATGAATGTGGATGAAATGTAGGTTAATTATGTATACTAAATTTAATGTGAGTATTACTGTAGTTAAAGTAAAATTAATTACTTGAATAAAAAGGTTATTTTTTTTAAGATATTAAGTAAATGAAATGTAATAAACGATTCGTTTTTTATAGTGCCTTAAAGAATGAATTCTTAATATATTTACAATCTATTTTTATAAGTTTTATTATTAAGTGTAAATAAGTGAAACTGTGACTTAAAGTTGTATTTTAATAAGGAATAAAGTTTATTTTTTTAATTATTGTGTATTTTTTTCCTAGACCTATGACCGAATGCTATATAACCGCAGATATTTAAAATATGTATACAGTTAAGGTCGAAGTATAGAAAAATCTGTTTTGGCCTATAACAGTTTGTCAAATTAAAATTTATACAGAGACCAAAACCTTTTAAATTACACTACCTATCAGAGATAACATTTATATAGAGAAAAAACTTAACGTGATTGTTTTCATGTTGGACTTTTCGAGGCCATTGATTTGATGACAAAGGTCTGTTCCATAAAAAAAGAACATGGTTCCAATATGAATAAAATTCATTTAACGATTTTTGAGATATCTCAATAAAAGTAAATTAGCAAACTTTAGCACCCAAAGCACCTTTGGACAGAGGTAAGTTGGGTCATATTTTCGACCAAGGAATCTATGGTAGTCATGTTATCTCGGACACTTGGATCTTAAGCGACGAATCGTAAACGATTTGCTTTGTGCCTTATGTAAGAAAGTGTTTCACATTTAAATTTTGGTTCAATATTATAAAATATTTGAAAGGAAAAATAATAGCACTTTAATCAATCAAAATATATTTTAATACATAACAAACATTTTCACAGACATTTTACATATTGTTATTTCCAACACGAAACCTTAATAAAGTCAAAAATTTTAAACGCACGTAAATAAATGGACTCACTGAGATTTCATTCTTACTTTAGTAAAATTGTGAATTTCAAATTGCGCTATTGCTGTCTCTTTTCCTACAAAGAGAAATGAGAGAGATAGCAATATAGTAAATCTATAGAAATGAGAAATTATCTTACATTGACAATGTGTATTGTCTATGGATTAATTTTGAGACGTTTCAATGTTTATAAGTAAAATAGACATGTGTGTTTTTAAGTCTGTGGTCACAGCCTTATAAAGGTAAAATTAGACAGGTTTGTTGTAATTTCTAATTTCCTATATAATTTTAAAAAGCAAAATTCTAGTTAACTTTAGTAAGGTTTCGAGGATTTTGGAATAATTTCATGAGATTCGAATAACTAGGACACATTTAAAACGTGATATGATTTTTTTTGTATTTCAAATTTAAACAGAGTTATCAAATCGTTTTTTTTTTCATAAATCTCGCATTTCATGACAATTTGCATTACATATTTCATAGTTAACCATATTAACAAACAATAAAGCAATTGAAAAACGAAAAATACTTAATAAATTGCTTTAAATTTTAACGACACGCTCAGAAATTAAACATTAACACAATCAGTTCATAGACAACACTAAATGCAAATGTCAAATCATATAAAAAACACAGGAATACTAAAATCTAGACTTAGATCTAGAAAAATTAAATTATCGTCAAGAAACTGTAAAATATTTGAAATTCTTTCTAGAGGTTAAATACAGTATAACATGATTGATGGTTCCACGTTATAGAGACATAAAGCGCGTTATAGAGGATTATTTTTAAAACTTTTGAGAATGTTCGCGTTACAGGGGAAAATGACGCGTTTTAGAGGTAATTACGGCCTTATATGGGGCTTCGTAAATAACTTTATAGGGAGTCTTTTTTTTTAGACAATAGCAAAGAATTACTGCCTTTAATCAGTTAATAAAGCGTACTTAAATTGTTTAAGTTATACAAACTATATCTTGTCATTGATGTAAAAAATCATGTTTACATAAAATAATTTGTTTTCTTAGTATTCTTCAAAAATATCAATTCCTTATACATTAGGAAAACATTCAATGAAAATGTTGAATTTACTCAAAAATATGAATAAAAAATTAACGCTGATGAAACCATTATCAAAATACATACTTGATCTGTTTATTTTTTTACCTTTATTTTTAATTTTGACTACCATTAAAAAAAATCAAACAAAAAATGGTTTCATGGTTAAATGGGAATTTGGTACATAAAAAATAATAATGGCAGAGAACATGTTAAAAAACTCACATTACTAATTATAATTGCACTGGTTAAAAAAAAAACTATAAAAATTTTAATCCAATAAAAAAAAATTTTTGCAATCATAAAAATAAACTGTCGAAACATGGCAACACAATTATTTGAAAACAATCACAGGATTCAATAAGAAATTTAATATATATTTAGTAGAAACAATACAATCATTTATTATAGTTTTAAATAATTTAGTTAATTTTGACACCATCGGTCTCGGAGCACTTATAGAATCTCTATTATTTTTACATTCTATACAATTTATTTCATAACCTTGTATTTTAATATCTTTTGAACCGATTGCGTATATATTCTGATCATTAATTAAAATTCCTTTAAAGCTTATTTTATCATCAGCTCGTAACAAACGTGTGTAATTACTAAAATAATGATCGAAATCGATAGAAATCTCCGCATGTCGCTTCAACAAGCCCCCACTAGCCTCCATTGTCAATTTAATTTCATAACTGTACCTGAAGGGAAAGAACATTTAAATTTTATAACTGCCATATTTTTTTTATAATATAAGGCGGCAAACGAGCAAGCGGCCTGAATCCACCGAAATAGAAAGCGACCTCTGCCCATAGACATCCGCAATTGCAGATGCGTTACCTACACTTAATTGGCGGAGGAGACGCACATAAAAGACATTTCCCCTTCCTTTGCACCTCCTCCACTGTCAAATCCACTTTTCCTACCCATCCTTTCCTCTCAAGAAAAGGGTGGAAATAGAAAGGGACTAAAATTAAGCCTCCGGCACCACACTCATCAGACTTAATGTGGATTTACTTCCATTTCATGCCTATTTTCTGTGTGGTCGTGGTATTACACCGGGCGAGCCGGCCTTATCTGTCACTTTTGTATAGATATGTATGGAAAATCGATGCTAAACTACTAAGTAACTAAATAAGTCTATATTAATATAATAAAGAGGAAAGTTTGTATATATTTGTAATATGTAACTGGACTGAAAATGTAGTGAGGTTAAATTGTACTACTAGTTATTGAGTTATTTCAATACATACAAAAAATTGTTCCTCTTTATAATATTAGTATAGACTATTTTACTATTTAAATCTATATATAAAATTACATAAATAAATTCACTAAATAATATAAATGGTATAAAGGTTGTATTGATGTTTGTTTTGTAACGTAAACTGCTAAATGTATCTCGATGAAATTTTGTACTAATGTAGAGAATAATCTGTAAAACATATAATATATTTGTATTTCTAACAAAATTACTTACTCATTTAAATTATTCAAATGGCAAATCTTGCCGCTCTGCCTGGCAACACTTTTCACAAACTCGCACCCACCCACAGAGTCCGGTCTATTCTGGCACAAACTACTATACTCTTCACCGTAATAACATTTAAAATACTCTTGAAGGAAACTCGGCAACCAACTAGCGAAATCACTCCATACATTTTTAACACTTTTTAACTTAACTTCACTGATATAACCCTCCCAATTTACGTGGGCACCATTTAATATGGAACATCTGATTTGAGCGGCCGCCATATTGGTTTCCGTCCAAGATGGCGCATTACATTGACTGTAATAATCTTCCCAAGTGATTTGGTAATTATTGTCTTCGTAATCTGTTATAAATTCACCTTTTAATAGATTTTTTATACTGGATTTATCGTCTCCTATTAATTCTATAAGCCCTGATGGAAAGCCGTCATCTTGTATGTCGCCGATTATTTGATTGCCCAAATATAGTAATGCCATTAGACCAATAGTTAACTGAAAAAAATAAAAAAGAATGCATATGAGACTATGGGTTACAAATGACACAACTCTTAGACAACGTAAGATTTTTTTTTAATTCGCTAAAGTTTAGATGGATGTGTGTTAAAGTTTGTAGCCTAAACTACTGAACAGATCTCGAAATTGCATAGATGTAGGTAGTCTGGAAGAACACAGACTACCCACTTCTGTTTTTTTTATTCCACGCGGAGAGTCGCGGGAGGTATCTAGTATCTCTTAAAAAGGGATGAGCAGAGAAATTTTGTTATATAAACTAAAATTAAAAAAAATACATTTAAAACTTTTATTAAAAAAAGATTTAACAATTAATTTTAAAAAATGTAAATTAAAAAATAAATAATAATAAAAAACATACCTGTAACGGCGTCACAAACTTCTTGGTAGCTTCCGACTTCGCCAACAGACAAGTTACCAACAAAATAACACCGAAACCCACCAATACCGATACTGTATAGAACAGTCTAGAAAGCGTTATATATTGCAGAAACGCGAATACAGGCAAAGTGACCGTAATAACACCTAACAAGGGTAGAAATAGGAACGAACAGACCAACGCTAAAGTACCCCTAATCAAACCATAAGCAGTACAACCGTGAGAGCAAGTTATGAACATTTGCAACCAACTTAACGTCACACAATGTGGTAGAGTGTATTTAAAAAAACCTTGCCAATCACTACGTTTAGCCATCGATAGCAAAATTACAGGAATTAATAAGGAAAAAAACACTCTAGAATTCAAGCAAAATTCAATACTATTCCCTAATATATAAGATGGGTAATTCGATATATGAAGATCGAGAAATCTCCAACCTTGATGGACAACAGTATCCTTTTCATAAGGATATTTAGCCAAAACATTAATACCAAAGGATAATAACGCCAAAACATCCGGATACAAACTCCCATTACTTCCAAAAGAGAACAAAGTTAGAAACATCAAGCAAAATGATAACACACAAAACTCCGAAAAAGGTACCCATTGTGTCGAAATAAACGGATATAGAAACAAATTTATCAACAACGCTATAAAGAATTGTACAAAAGGGTACAAATTATTCCTCACAAATAAATTCTCCGATTCCTCGGTTTGCAAACTACCGTCACTATACCTTAAAAACAAACCTGACCATTTCCTAAAATCTATAAACTGTCGTTTAGCTAGCAACATTTTAAATGTACAAATAACCATCGCTACAAAACTAACATAATATACTAATAAAGGTAGCAAATGGTATAAACTGTCTGTATTAGTTGACAAATAAGCTACCAAAAGGAGTGATAATTCGATATTTGAGAGCCTAAATGAGAAAGAACCGAAGTAATAGAGTAATTTAAGATATAACACTTGTAGGAAAACTATTGGGTGTAAAAATGCTTGTTGGAACAAAGGGATATGATCTAGGGCTTTTATGTTAGGGTCAGTTAGTGTTATTTCATAGCTAACTAGAGGTAACTCTCCTTGACAGTAATCGACAGCCGCTGACACTAAATTGTCAACTGTCAAGTTACGAATATGCCTACGGTCAACTTCTTCGTGATAATCTGAAAAAGGTAAATAATGTAATTTTAATGATAAAAGTACACAGAGAAGTAATTTAAACCCTATAATAATATAAACAAGAATAAAATAATGAAATAATACAACTTCAACCTTTTACCCTTAACTTGGCAGAATTTTATTTTTCGAATATTAAAATAATATTCATAGTATTAACTTTGATGACTCAAGGTGTCTAGAAAAAATAATAAAAAAAAAATCTGATGTATCTCTACAGATACACTAACAAGAAAAGTGTTAAGTGCAAAAATGAAAAAAATTTTTTTTTTTTGAAACCAAGATTTTTTTAATTATTTTTCCCTTATAGTTTGTCTAAATAAAATAGATTAGTTTGATAAATGACGCATATGAAGTATCGAATTCAATTTGTATGAAGGCAAAAGCGGTACTTATCAGACAGGTATCGTAGTGACGAAACAAACACGCAGCGAACAATTATGAACTATCGATATTCGATTTAAATAATAATCGAACTCAACTAAAATTATTATTTTCTTATTAACTAATTTAGAGGACAATTCTATTATTGATTATAGTGTAGAGAATTTAGCGATGACAGAAATAATAGCGAAATCCAATTCGATTACGTACGGCTGCAGTAGTAATAAACATTTATTTTCTCTCATTATTTGTAACGGTCATTATTAATTTGAGAAAACAGTGGTTTTTTTTAAATTCATAAGTTATAACTATAAAACTATCGATTCCAACTTCTATAAAAATAAAAATCGAAAATCGATAAGATTTATGACTTTACACAACCATCCCTACTAAATTTGAAATGAATTGTCAAACTAATCTAAATTATTTAGACACACTATAATCTGTGACATAAAACCTATACTGAAATATTTATTTCATAATTAAATAAAAATACATTTAAGGGTTAACCCTGAATGTTTAGTTACGTTTGTAAACAGAATTTTAATCAATCAATAATCAGTTTTTTAGTTATTGCCTTATTACGATTTAACTGAGAAATCCAATTAAAATTGGAGTTGTTTTGCGAAAGTTCCAACAATAATGTTAAATTGATCACTAAACCACTTAGAATTCTGAGTATGAAAAATCAATCTAACAATAAAAGGCAATAAAAATATATCCAACAAAAGTTTCAAGAAAATAACTTAAACAGTTGCAAATAAAATTCCTTGCAATCTAATAATAACGTTTGTGTGACCAATAAAAATGTACAATCAGATAACTTCGCGGTGTTCGATTAATAGAAAATTGCCCTGTCTTACAAAGTGACAAATATCATCGTTTACAACTAACTAATTAACTAGCATTTAGTACAAAAACCATAAAAAAGCAATTAGCAATGAAGTAACCGAAATCTTGATAGACTTTTAACCTATAATTCGATAGTGTCCAGTTACGAACTGATTTAAAAAACTGAACTAGTTGAATGAATGAATGTATGAATATGTATTCATTGCCACAAAAAAGAAATTACATATACGAACTAATTGTAAAGAAAACATATAAGCCGTTCCTGCGCTGATTGTCAGTTTGCGCGCGAAGTTTAGAGAAAAATACGCGAAATTGATTTTAATATGTTGGTAACAAATATTTTTTGCTACAAAAACGTCAAATTAAGGGTTAGAAGCTCCTATTGGTTAACGCGTCTCAAAAAAACCGTTAATACGACTGTATTTTTTTATATAACACCGCCAAATACCCTGATAGTACTTACCATCTTCAGTTTGCGCGGTCCTTATTGTTCCGTTAATGTGTATCTGATCTCCAGCTTCATACTGAGAAGGTTCCAGCGCCTGCTCATCCAAGGCATTACCTTCCTCTAATACCATCATACTAATATTACAAATGTGAAAGTTTACATGGATGTTTGTTAGAGTTTGTAGCCTAAAGCTGAACGGATTTTGATGATATTTGGTATAGATGTAGAGTATAGCCTGGAAGAATTAAGGCTACACACTTTTTTATAATTCCACGCGGATGGAGTCGCGGGCGGAAGCTAGTATATCTATATAAATACTAGCTTTTGCACTCGATTCCGTCAGCGTGGAATGAAAAACAAAAGTGACTATGTGTTCTTTCAGTCTATATTCTATGTGTGGCAAATTCAATGGAGATCCGTTCAGAAGTTTAGAGGACAAACTCACATACATCTATCCATTTCTTACTAATATTATAAACTAGCTTTCGCCCGCGACTCCGTCTGCCTGGTATTGAAAAATACAAAAGTGAATAGCCTATGTGTTCTTCCAGACTATCCTCTACATCTGTGTCAAATTTCATCGAAATCCGTTCAACCGTTTAGGCTACAAACTCTAACAAACAACCATCCATCCATCCAAACTTTCACATTTATAATATTAGTAAGAAGTAAGATTAGAAAGTTTAGATGGATGGATGTTCGTTGAAATTTGAAGTCTACTGAACAATTCTCGATGAAATTTTGCATGAAGTTTGGAAGAACACAATTTTTTTTACTTTCTTAAAATTCCATACTAACAGAGTCTCGGGCGAAAGCTAGTTGCAAATAAAATTCACCTCTAAGACAAGAGTTTCAGATTTACGTAGTGTCGTCAAGTTTTAAAACTACTGTTATCTCTATATTTTCTAGGGGAATATTAGAGTGTCGTTGGCTCAGTGGTTACTGGTAACCTACAGGTCTCTTGGGTTCGAATATCGCTGTACCTATTTGATTTACGATATTCGAATTCTTAGTGGAAGGAATTGTGATTCAAAGATGTATGAAGTCGCGCCGTGCTGGTTGACAGGCCTGGTTACCTAAGGGATCTACCCTAAGGTAGGTGTTGAGCCCCTAGTCGTGAGGTGATGAACATGGTTACCTGCATCTTCATCAGGAGTATCACTATCCTCTTCCTCTTTATGCAAGGTGGTGGTGCAGATTTCTCTAATACGACGCTCCAATTGCGCCGTCGTTATATACTGTTCACCGTTTGATAAACTAAAAATATTACATTTAATACGATTTCGTCCGCGTAATATAAAAATATAACCTATGTTACTCACTGATAAATTACCTTTCTAATGGTGAAAGAGTTTATAAAATCGGCACATTAGTTTTTAAGTGAATCGAATACATATAAAAATAAAATAAAGAGGAAAAATTTGTATTTTTGTATATATTGAAATAACTCAAAAACAACTGGACCGATTTCAAATATCCTTTCACCATTAGAAAGGTAATTTATCTGTGAATTACATTTTTTATTATAATTTCACGCAGGTAGAGTCACGAGCAACACTTAATTTGTTATAAAAAGGTCAAATTTAAGAAGAAACAGTAACTCACCTAGCAAATAAATCCCTTGCCGCTTTCCGCGCTACAATCTCCTGGCGGCTGGCGGCAAGGCATGACTTAGCTCGGACGATCGCCGCACTGTCCTCGTCTATCACCCCACTACGTATACACCTGAAAGTAATAACTACACATGAAATACCATAAAAAAACACCAAAGTTCAGACACCGAGAAAAATTCCACTCCTTGTTAAAACAATTATTCGTGTACCACTGAACCACCATTTTAAGTAAAGACAAAAAAGCAGCATCTTATTGGTAACTTATTCTTCTTCGTCGTCTCAATACAACACACAGAATACAGGCGTGAAGTGGAAGCAATTCCGCGTTTCGTCTGAAGATTGTGGTGCCGGAGGCTCAACTTTAGTCCTTTTCTTTTTTCACCCTTTTCTTAAGAGAGGATGGGAAGGAAAAGTGGATTGGACGGTGGAGGAGACGTATAGAAAGGGGAAATGTACTCTTTATGTGCATCTGCAATTGCTGATGTTTATGAGCAGAGGTCGCTTTCTATTTTGGTGGATTCAGGCCGCTTGCTCGTTTGCCACCTCATATTATTTAAAAAATAACTAAAGCATTTAAGGTGCAATACCGCCAAATTCCCCGACTGTACCTACGTAATGACAAGAATCACTATTTATAGGTTTTTAACTAAATAATTCAGAGATTGAGAGAAAAGTTTTTAACCCTAATATTCTATCATTGAAGCGTAAAACGATTTGATTTATTCCGTACTAGCTTTCGCCCGAAACTCCGTCCGTGTGGAATTATAAAACTATCCTCTACATTTATACCAAATTTCATCGAAATCAGTTCAGCCGTTTAGGCTACTAACTCTTACAAACATCCATCCATCTTAACTTTCGCATTTAAAATATTATTATGAAGTATGATTTAGTTTATATTGTAGATCAGAGAGGAAATTACTGATTACATTTAGACGCAACCCGAGCACACTTGTCTCACTTCTGTGTCCACACCTACATGCTCATCGTTCTACTTATGATCTTCACTTAAGATACCGTTCAATCACAATTTTACGTTTGAACATACACTTGAATTAAAATACAACGTAAATAAAAAAGCAAACATGTAAGTTTTTTATATGAAAAACTAGCTTTTTCTTCAGACTTCGTCTGCGCGGAATTAAAAAATAAACTTGATAAGTAGTATATGTATCCTAGACTATGTTCTACATCTGAACGACATTACAACGAGATCCTTTAAGCTATTTTAAAATACAAACATCCATCAAAATTTTCGCATTTATAATAAACTAATTTTCACCCGCCACTCCATCCGAGCGGAACTAAAGAAAAACAAATGCAAGTAATAATAATAATAATAATAAAGTCATTTAATCCATTCAGTAGGCAAACATCATACACTTAATTACACAGTTGACAAAAATAATGACGGAGGAAACGAAAGTTTTACAAACAACAATAAAATATATACAAATACACAATAATAAGCATCAATCAAAAATATCATAACTTTCAATATATTTTTTTTTAACTAAGTTTGCTATGCTAGTGGCAGTATTCTTCCAGACTATCCTCTACATCTATGCCAAATTTTATCGAAATCCGTTCAGCCGTTTAGGCTACAAACTCTAACACACAACCATCTTTCGCATTTATAATATTAGTAAAAAAGTATGATATGATAACTTATGTTAAATCAAACCTTTTTCTTATATTCACAACTCAGTTTTCACTTCTTTTTAATTGACACATATACATTCGACGTCTGTATCGTAATAGAATAAAATGTCTGTAATATTACTTTTAACTTTCGATTAATTTAAATCCACAACAACTTACATAAGTCTGTGTAATTCTAATCTTACTCTTTCCCACTTTATTTTCCAATCTTCGAATTCAGGTACATCGTACATAGGCATGTTTAACAAATGTAAACACACACAAAAACACCAGACACCACAACAGATTAATATAACACTAATTATAGAGCGGAACTAACCACTGAATTTCAAATATTTTGATAATCGCATATAATTCAGACAATCTTCTACTACTTTTTGAATTTTTTTAGTTATGTCCTGTCTATATACATTAAAGTCTATTCCACACTGAACCCTTGTCGACTAATGGTGTAAATGCATCGGAACGCAATGTTTTATGTTTACGTATAAACGGAATGACAATCAACAATAAGCATTACCTCATATCATTCGGTACTCGTAATTCACGTCGACTTTTAGATTGTAAATTATTGTACTCTTACGGAATTTCGCACGTTAAAAATAATACCGCATCCAAAATGACGTTTGTTTTTTTATTTATTAATGGCGTTACTGACGTTTGCACTAAAAAGTTTCATTGCAAAAATTATAATCTTTGCCTTTTCAATTTTTACAGTCAAAGAATTTAATTCCATTACCACTTAAGATCGAAAATCAGCAGTGAGCATAAAAGCTGTGTATCTTTAATTTGTCTTCTTTAAAAAATTGTGTTAATACTAGATTTCGCCCGCGAATCTATCCGCGTGGAATTAAAAAAAAAAAACAAAAGTGAGTAGCCTATGTTCTTTCAGATTATCCTCTACGTCTATGCCAAATTTCATCGAGATCTGTTCAGCCGTTTAGGCTACAAACTCTAACAAACATCCATATAAACTTTCGCATAATATTAGTACGATTAGTCATACGAAATGTAGGTAGTTTTAATATCAAAAAACTAAACATTCCAGCAATTATGTATCTTCAACTCACAGTTTGAAATAGGGCCTTGAAATAACTTGGCAGTCTTTAAATGGCATTTTAGGTTCAACACACACCATTTTAGTGCTCTTTGCTTGCTCTTGCTCAAAATTCAGCGGCGGTCAAAGTGTTAAATCGAGTGTTTAACAAAACAGTAACTTACTATATTTCTTTACTAAAAAAATTTTTATCTATACTATTATAATAAAGCGTAAACACACACTTCTTTGTTGCTTAAGATGTCAGCAATTACAGCTTATTTTTGAAAAAATCTTTTTTTAATAAAAAGCTTTACACTTACGCCACGCTTTAGGCTATATATTTTCACGCCATTAAACTTAGGGGGTAAATATTTTGGATAAAAACCCTAATGTGGGAAAGAGACCATAAGTTGCTGCCAACATCAAGGAAGCAACATTGCCAAGGTTGTCATGTCATGTCATTTTGACATTTGCTATTGATAAATGTAAAAACCAAAATAAAATTTTCATAATTTCATGCGGATGAAGTCGCACGGGAACAGCTAGTACTAATATAAATTACTAGGTGTTCCCGTGCGACTTCATCCGCATGAAATGAATCTTGCTTCTTTGATGTTGGCAGCAACTTATGGTCTCTCTCCCACATTAGGGTTTTTATCCAAAATACTTACCCCCTAAGTTTAATGGCGTGAAAATATATAGCCTAAAGCGTGACGTAAGTGTAGGGCTTTTTACTAAAAAAAATGAATTATTCAAAAATATGCAGTGATTGCTGACATCTTAGGCAACAAAGAAGTGTGTGTTCACGCTTTATTATATTAGTATAGACTAAGGTATCCTTTCCACTAATAATTTGCAATTACACCAGTGGAAATGTACATAACTGTAGACGCGACTTATCGCTTAGTGGAAAAGGAGGTTAATTACCTTCTCAACATTCTCCTAGCCTCCGGATGCGCTTGTTCCGTCGCGCAGATCAGCCATTCTAGTGCTTGTTTGAAGTTTGAGATTTTATCAGCTTCAAGTTCTGTAATATATTAATTATAAAATACAAATACACAAAAACAAGACGCGAAACATCGATTATTCATAATTGAATTCGATTCATCGATTCACCATTCGATATATTTGTAGTCCGTATCGATTAATTCATTATATTCGATGTTTTTAAAGCTAAAAATGTTACCTGTGATCTTGGCTCACTTAAAGTTTATTTACAAATATTAGAAACTGATGTAAAGGCGATTGAAACTGGATTTTTTTTAAAGACGACATAAAAAATTCCTAGATGGCGCTGTCATTAATTTTGTCAAATTCTTGTACGAACATTAATTTTGATGGAAACTTCCAAATACAACAATGCTTTTAATACGAATAAAAACACCCAGTGTTATAGAAAAATATTTTTTTAACCATATTGAGGTTTTAAACTTATAAGTTTAAGTAAGAAATTTCTACAATAAATCTTACTAAAATTATCAATGCAGTTCTTAGATGGATGGATGTTACTACATATCAGAACAGCTTAATGGATTCCAATTTATTTATTTATTTATTTACAATAGGAAGCCAACATATCACATGAAATAAGTCATGTTTGTTGAAGAAAAATAATTATAACTAAAACACAATATCATGGATACATTTACAGGCTAACACAATATTATGATAAAAAAACAAGTTTTACATGACAAATAATTAAAAACTAAAACTCACTACAAAAAAGAAAAATAAAAAAAATGGGGATCTTAGCCTACTTGGTAAGTTCTTTTAATTTTTACTGGACCATAAGATGGCTGACACTAAATATGCAAATAAAACACTGTATTTTAGTTATTTTGGGTGTAATGTAAGTGAATATCACTATAAAAACATAGAAGCAGGATGTATAGATATCCTATAATTTCTTTCAATATAATATAAAAAAAACATCAATTCAATAATAACTAAATAATCAATAGTGATTTTTTAACAGGAAGACATTTCCCTTGAGTGTGCAAGAGTTATTCCACACAGAGACGCGGGTAAAAACTAGTTCCATAAATGTAATAATAAAACCAATAGTGAGGTCCTGTCTCTGCAGCCCTGACCACTGGTTGCTCGAGTCATCGGATTCCGCAGCCGGTGGACTTCTATTTTTTGATATAATATGTTTTATTTTATTTTTAAAAAAAAAAATCATGTGAAATATATTATATATAAAAATAAGAAAATAAAGATATGAGATTAAATAAACCATACCACATTTTTCTTCTAAAAGTTGCTTTGCTAAAACCACTTGCGATTCTGCACATCCATCCTCCGCTAGCTGGTTCCTTAACCTCCTCAACGATCCTTGCGGGCCATCTGAAATAAAGATTTCTCAACAGTAGACAATCATAAATACAAAGTTAAATATAAAAGATTAAGTGCCTGTCCCACCAACTAATAGATGCTTGGATAGATTACAAATGATGTCACTGTCAGATGTAACTGACATATTTTTGTTTTTTCAATCTAAACAGACAGAGTCATGGATGAAAACTAGTGTTGATTTAGATTAGAAAGTTCTAGACTTTCTAATATCATGTTATTTCCAAATTCAGAGTATTTATAACAACCTTCTGTGACATTAAAATAACTCCAACTAGGTTTTTTTGCTATACAAGTGAGCCGTTGCTGTAGAGGTCTATAAAAACAATTTACAAGTACTGGCTAATACTTTTGTAACATTTAATAAAGTTTGATTTAATAAATTATTTGTATTGAAGGCAGAGTTAGTAATGGAATAATCAGAACATTACCTGTATTAAATAATTTATTTAAAATAATGAAAATACGTTTAAATTACTCAACTAAAATACAAGCATCATTATAGAATGTAGCAATCGGATAACACGTAAATAAGTGTTTTACTGGTGATATTGCGAAATTTAATTTACGAATACTAAAAAAGGCGGCTGCAAAATTATCATAAAACCTTAAATATGACAAGGTTAACAACAATATCTAGTTTATTTAATACGTAAGTTACTTTTAATTTCACGGTTAACCTAAGATATGATTAATAATGGATATAAATTTCTAAAAACAAAACATTGTTTTAGTATCTAAGGCAAATTGTTTTATGGAATAGGCAATATTTATACTTACCATGAAGGTTCCACCGCTTTCTTCCAACAGGCATGACCTTTACTCGGATACAATAATATTAAACTAATATTAAAACACAGCAGTAGGAAAGAATTTATAAACAATCAACAAAAATCCGTATTTTGATTCTACCATTCGCAATTCGCAATAACTTTATTTTGACAGTTCGTCAGTTGATAGTTAAACAGGGCAATATGCTGTTCATCCAAAATTTAAATCGTTATATTAAATATAAATTACTCTATACCTCTTGATTTTATATTAATCAGGTTTAAATGTTTAAGAATTCCGATCTAATTAAAGTTAAGAAGCAAATTATTAGTACACTGTTTGCCTACACTGTAATATCTATTCAATCAAAACTAACGTAGGCGAACAATCTAATCTACCCACGTATAAAAAAAAATTGTCATCATATGCTGGTCTATTTAAGTTCCAAGGACGAAATTTAAATTTAGAAAATAACTTAGCGTGGGGGAATTTACAAATAATCTTCAAAAAGAAAATAAAAACATTTGAGGAAAGTTTTGCTATTCCTGTCATCCATAAAAGTCGATTCGATAAAGTTAAACTTGAATCGAAGAAACGAGTAACGATATAGCCGTTAACGCTGTCTAAGGAGCTATTGGCTATTGGCATGGATGCACTAGTCACTGTCATTGACGTCTCTATCATTTTATATCCTCTTTGGTCACAATACTATTTTTGTTTTCATTATATAATCTGTTATAGTGATAGATATATAAAAATAGATAGGCGATTGTTTGAAAATGACAGCTTCTGCCTACTTTTAACTTAAATGCGCATTTGAATATTATTATGGTCTATTACTAATGGTAGTTACAAAACTCTTCACTTCACCTAGCCAACCACAACTATCAGCGATAAAATGGCAAAAATCAAATAGACACCAAGTGCTACAACGTGTAGCCTGTCCATCTTTACATGTCAGTGAATGTAGTTTGAAAGTAAATATCACCTGTTTGTTTAGTTTTTCTGTCGAAAAACATTGAAAACTTAAAGTTTTACTTAATTAATAACTGAAAAACTACTGCTAAACATAAAATTGTCGTGCCAAAGTGTAGTTATGATATTTTCAAAATGTTAACGCCAAAGTTCAAATTGTCACAAGATGAGAATCACGTATATATTATTGTGCATGCGCCCTACACGAATATCCGCGAAACAGAAATCGATGTGGACGGGGAAAATTTCTTGTTCGTGTCAAGTCCTTATTTCCTCCGGCTCCGGCTTCCGGGACGGATAGTTGAGAACGATAATGCTAAAGGCTCTTACATTTGTGATTCGGGCGACTTTAACCTCACCTTTGATAAAGAAAATCATGGTGAGCACTTTGAAAATCTAGATATGATAACAAGTTTACTGGCTCCTCGTGATATACCAGATTTGAATCCTACTTTAGTGGAAATGTTGGAAGAAAGTGGTATTACTGGTGAAGAGCAGGGTGCGTCTTGCAGCAAAAGCGACGGGTATACTACAGAAAGCGACGATGATACTACTAATTATGCTTACGGCTTTGGTAACAAGGTCTGTGTGGAGTTCGGGGATCTGGCTAAAGAATTCCCACATGTTTTCGAACTGAAGGAGCCCGATCGTGTACCGATCGCGAACAGGCACGAACTACGCATCAAATATGAAAATCGCAAGTTTTCCAATGATCATTACTTAGCTGATTTCTTTGAAGAGGAACTTGATATTTACATCAATTTCGAAGTGTTCTGGAGAAATGAGAATTTCAATGTTGAAAGTATAGAGTTCACGGATGATGAAATTTCATTATTGAAAGATTTACCGAATAAGAGTTACCTGCTGAGTAAAAGTGAATACAACCAAGTAATGCTCGGGCTTGTTGATATCTTGTACGGTTATTGCTATGACAAGCATACCACTCACAATGAAACATCCGTCGAATCCACTTGGACAATCAACAAGCTCTCTGCAACATTGAGCTGGTTTTGTGTATTTAAGGAACCCAAGGAGGTTTTAATATCAAGTTACAGAAGATCTCTCGTCTATCCTATCTTCAGGAATTTTGATTTGAGCAGAAATGTGCATGATGACTTGATATCATTGCTCAGAAAGGGCAAGATGTTTATCGTAAAATGCCTCTTAGAAATCTACAATCTATTCAACACATCAAACCAACCTCGTTACATACTTAACCAACTTTATATAAAAGATTACCTGATTTTCGTACAGAAATGTAGACAGGAGGAACTGGACGAGTTGTGTAATAACTTAGCCAATATTGATATTGAGAAAAAAGATGTCGGTTTTGATCTAGAGGAAATAGAAGAGGCTGGAAAATTGGTAGAAAGGGAGGAAGCACTCATTATACAGAATGAATTAGCATGCAAGTTGGCGAACATTGAATTAATACCAGGAATAAAGAAGCCACCATATTTTGATGTCACCACACTATTTAATCCCAGTTCAAGCGATTCCAGCAGCGACAGCTCTTCAAGTGATTCATCGAGTGATTCACTTGATTCTGATGATGATTCCTCCTGATATGAAAGCTTCCAGGGTCCAAGTGGCAAAGGCTTGTAAAGTCACCATTTAAACCCTGGAAAGCTTGGAAATGCTACAATGAAAACATAGGAGTTGGGTCTCTATTGGTTCGGTATTCAAGTCATCGAGTGGATGTTTCCGAAATAACAATATGGACACTAAATATAGTGTTAAAAGATTCAAATATATGCTTATACTCCAATTTACACCCCATCCAGTGCAAATTTAATAGATTGAAAAAAAAAACTTTAAAGATTCTTAATACATAATCATATTAGTATTTCAAATGTTATCTTGGCTGTAAAATTAAATTAAAAATATTAATTATGCATTTAAATAATAATACATAGTTTAGAACTGTAGCTAAAATGTTTAAAAAATAGTAATTGTCATAGTTCAAATTCATATTTAAATCTAAATATTCAATTCAATCGATCTCTAAATGCTACTTTTTGATGTGAAAATGTAGTGTTGTAGAACATAGAAAAATAACGTTATTAGGTAACCATTTATCGCTTTTGTTATGCTATTTAATGGTTATAAAAGCTGCTACTGCTAGTTATATGTAGTTATCAGTTATAAATGTACATAGATAATAAAAAATATTTTAAAAATCTTCAACGTATATTACAAAGTCATTGTTTAGTCTATAATTATATTGTATCTAATACATTGCATTTCAATCTTTACGGTTTTAAATAAATGTTAGAATAAAAAAATTGTTTTAATACTTAACCTAATACTAAATACAGAGCCGGTTTTTATATTTTTATGACGCCCTCTTTTACCATGACTGGGAGGAGGGAGTAAAGGGGTTTGTAAAAATACGGAGACTTGTCACACTCCTTTATGCTAGACTCCCTACCGGTACTGTACCGATATTGCAACAAAAGTTAACATACATAATAGAGCAAAATCATGTGGTTGGTATGAAGACGTACGTCATTACAATGAAGGGGAAGTATTCGACACTGTTAATCTTATGTTCACTCAGCGAGAATCCTGAATCAACAATCATAAATCTTAGCTACAAAACGACGTGTACATTTTATAAGGGATATAACACTTGTAAAAGTAAAATTATACGAGTCCTATAAACATGGGCTTCACGTAGGCTAGGTCTAGGAGGGTAGCTGCCGTTAATATTCAATATTCAAAGCAGGTTTTATATCTGATTTTTTGGTTCTCCGGGAGGGGGCTTATGACCGCTTGGCGGCCATGTCTATGAATTTGAAAAACGAATATTAGAATAAGCTGATCATAATCTACCACTACCCTTCTAGGTTTAAAGTTCTTAGTATCCAAGTACACTTTATCCGGTTAAGTCTGGAGTCTAGTTTTTCGTGTACATGATTTATATATGTAGGTTTGTATTAATTTTAATATTGTAATAAACCTAAAGAAACGTTTATGTTTCTCTTATCTTCCATTATTGTCATAAGCCACCCAGTTAGGCAGAATTTTTAGTTTTTACCTTAACAAACAGCGTTATAAGTTAAAAAAAATGAAGTCTGCATGCAGATGCACCGTTTCGCGCTGCGACCACACCCATCGTACATCAAAATCAATACGAACTGTGCTATTACTAGATTTATCTATGTTTCAGAATATGGCGGCTGGAGTCTGGGATGTATTGATTTTCATTGCATATACATAGGTAATAGGTATTAACAGGGAATCGCCACGCCTAAAAGTACTGCGCAATTTCAAATAGCAATCTCATATCGTATGATATAAATTGTGCTATTTAAAAATATGTTTAGATTTGTTCTAGAAACATCTATCATCCACTTGTCCTTATCCCTTACGGAGGGTCGGCACAGTGTGTGCTGCTCTTCCACACGTCTCTATCAGCCGTCATATCTGAATCCACTCCTTTCTTAAGCATATCATCTTTCACACAATCCATCCATACTTTCTTTGGTCTTCCTCTTACTTTGTAGCCATCCACAATCAATCTTAACATTTTCTGGTTTATGTCCCCATCATAACATGTCCATACCACGCTAACCTTTTGCTTCTCAATTTCTCCACCACTGGCGCTACTTTCAAACTTCCTCTAATGTACACATTCTTAACTTTATCCATTCTTGTCACACCACCCATCCATCTTAACATACGTATCTCAGCCACATGCAATATCCTTTCCTTTCTAGAAACATCTTTTTGAAGAGATAATCATCAGCTACTTATTAAGTAAGCCAGTATCATTCTTCGACCACATCATACCACCTGATGGATGGTACAGCGCTAGTTTAAATTTCACTAAAAAAAGTAACTACTTTCCCATCGAGGGTTTCCTTTAAATCCTACTCATTACAATATTATAAATGCGAAAGTATAGATGGATGGATGGATAGATGGATGTTTGTTAGAGTATGTAGCCTAAACAACTGAATAGATTTCGATGAAATTTGGTATAGATGTTGAGCATAGTCTGGAAGAACACATAGGCTACTTACGTATATTTTAATTCCACGCGGACGGAGTTGCGGGTGAAAGCTAGTAAATATATAAAAAATAATAAACATTAAATCAGTACCAAAACACATTGCAACATAATACACTTAAACAAAAAAAAATACAAACGCGAAAAAAAGAAAATTAACTATCAAAGATCAAAACTATTGACAAGAAAATTGAAAAGAAAAAACAAAATATATAGACATTTTAAATATGCGATACAATGCAGAATTGATATGGCCTTTCATATGAGTAATATCACGTTTCCCTACACCGTCTGAACGTCGTATTAATGTATCTATGAATTACGAAGATATAATCTGCACATTGGTATTTAGCGGGATTCGAACCCAGGACATGCAATTACAAGTCAATTGTCTAACTCCTAAATGCATATTATTCAAACAAAAATATAGTTTTTATGGAAACCAAGTTTTTTTAATCACATGTTATGCGACGAGACGATGGGGACATAAACCAGAAAGTGTTAAGATTGGAGATGGATGGCTACAAAGGAGGAGGAAGACCGAAGAAAGTGTGGATGGATTGTATGAAAGAGGATATGCTTAAGAAAGGAGTGGATTCAGATATGACGGCTGATAGAGATGTATGGAAGCAGCACATACTGTGCCGACCCTCCGTAAGGGATAAGGGAAAGTGGATGATGAAGTTTTTTAAATTATTTTTCTTTTAATCTGTGACATAATCATGTATTTAAGGGTTTAGCAGCCAACACTCGAAGAGATAAAAAAAAAGCAGATATATTTTTTAAACTTCATTTACTCGTACTATTTAAATATTTCGAGAATTCCCCATTCGATTATATTTAAAGTAATATTATTGAAAAATAATCGAATTATTTTGACATTATTTTTCAAATTTAGGACATAATGGATGTGTATTAGACATACCAATAAACAATTTTATTCATACAATAACAGATTCAAATTTTTCAAACACCAAAGTAAATCGTAATATGCATCTTACACCATACATTCCAATTTCATAACTATTTATACTTATTTCTCTACTAATTTAAACATTAGGATTAATTAATTTGCTTTTTGGAAGTACTCCTTACTCTCTACTGGGCTTGGTTTGATAGTAGCGGCGTTCGTCTCTGGATTCCAGTTAGCTGGACATACTGTGAACATTAAATTGTTTATTAAAAAAAATCACAAACATCAATAAATCTCTACAATTCATTTATTTTTATAATTTTAAAGCTTTACAGTGTTTTAACCTATAAATTTAGGGAAATATCAATTTTAATCGATTTCGCAATCGAGAAAGTTCATTCTTTATCTCTAGCATTCGTAATTTGAAAAACTTCAGTTAACTATAAACAGCTTTTATCAACTAGATAACTGGTTTCGTAACCAGTTAAAAATAACTGTTACGAATAACAGCTAATAACAGTTAATAACCGTTAGAACTAGCAGTTAAAAATAATAGTTATTTCTCAGCGCTAAAGTTATTTCTTAAGTTCACTCCATCTTTCAATTTTGAAAACTGGAATACAAATGGAATTGCAAATTCCTTTTTTTAGAGTCGGTTAAAAACCGCCACGTATGGAATTTCACATTTCTTTTATAAAAATTAGGATTTTGATTGCAACAATTAAATCTTACTAATATAAATGAGATATTTAAGATGGATGGTTTGTTTGAGTTTGTAGTCTAAAATTAAAAGTGGCATAGATGTATACGATAGTCCGGAAGAACACATAGGCTACTTATTTTTTAGAAATTGCATGCGGACGGAGTCACGGGATAAAGCTTGTTAATTATCAATTTCAGTTTATGAATTACCCTCTCCATGCTTGTCTGCAAACTGGAAGGCCTTGACCAATCTTAGAGTTTCATCGACAGACCTCCCCACGGGCAGGTCATTCACTGACATATGTCTTAGAATTCCATTACCATCGATTAGGAATAAACCTGTAGAGATATAATTAATTTTAAATGTATACATACATATTATAATTTTTGAATTTAACCCTAAAGTAATCAAAGCACTGGAGATATAGAAAAAAAAACAGCAATTTCTTTTTAATAATTCAAATCTTCACTCAAATTTTTTATCTGAACATGTTCAACAGATTCTAGGATTTGTAATTTATATAACATCCAGTATTTTTGGTATTAACTGGAATTACCAATTACATACATCAAGAATTAACATCCCCAACATATTCTTTCATCAACATCCCATTAAGGGGGCATTAAAAATATACTCCATTGGTTTAAAATTATTGGAACTCGGCTCAAATGGCATTACAATCTTACCTCGCAACGCAAACCCTTCGTCCAATAAAACTTCATAATCCTGAGAGACTTTCTTCTTATAATCAGATAACAGGGGAATCTCTAATTTTCCTAATCCACCATTCTAGACAAAAATAATATTTTTTTTATAGGTATACCAACAAAATATATTAAAATAAATATACATAGTGTTTTAAACTCAGGTAAAAATATGAACATAAACGTGTTTTATTTATAGGCAAACACATCCATTGATAGAAAAACAAAGTGCAAATTACAATTACCTTACATCTAAGAAGTTAAAATCAGTCTTTAGTAACAATTCTAAAAAAAAAATGTAAGAGTTATATTTAAGTGGTATTGGTGAAACATTTGCAGTTAATTTTGATTTTTAAGGATTATTTTAATTACTAAGGAATGATGACGCACTATAATCAAACCATTATATCAAACATTTACTTTACAATCACGGAAATCCGCGGTGTTCCACTACAAAAATTATCCATACTATCTATACTATTATAATAAAGTGTAAACACACACTTCTTTGTTGCCTAAGATGTCAGCAATTACAACATATTTTTGAGTAATTCTTTTTTTATTAAAAAGCCAGACACTTAAGTCACGCTTTAGGCTATATATTTTCACGCCATTAAACTTAGGGGGTAAATATTTCGGATAAAAACCCTAATGTGGGAAAGAGACCATAAGTTGCTGCCAACATCAAGGAAGCAAAATTGACATGCTTTGTCATCATGTCATGTCTGTCATTTTGACATTTGCAATTTAATTTGACAAATGTAATCAATAAAACAATTTTCATAATTTCATGCGAATGAAGTCGCACGGGAACAGCTAGTTGCCTTATAAAATGCAATTTGACAAACTCCTCTTCTTGCTACAAACAGCTAATTAGATAGCATGATCATCACCAGCTCACTATACGTCCCTACCAAGGGGCTCGGAGCCTACCCTTAGTATGGCAACTAGGCCATAGCCATAAACATGCTGGCCCAATCCAGGTTGACTTCACACATGTCTGAATTTCTTCACGGATATGTGCAGGCATCATGTTTTCCTTCACCGTAAGAACGTCAGGTAAATTATGTACATTTAAAAATTCGAAAATCAGTGGTACAGTGTGATTCGAACCCAAAACCTGTAGATTACAATTCAAGTGCTTAAACTACGAAGCCGCAGATGCTCTCATTAGTATAATATAGTAATTAGATAGCAGGGAATGCAATAAAGAAATAATAAAATGAAACTAGCTTGCATTTATAAGCTACGTATCGGTTTGCTCCATGTCTTGTTTCAAAATGTTTAAACAATTGTAGCTTTAAAGGTTGAACACCACTAATTTCCCCGATTGTATAATATTAAATCAAATCATCATCATCATCATCTCACTATATATCTCCACCGAGGGGCTCGGAGCCTACCCTAAGTTAGGGATGACTAGGCCATAGTCAACCACGCTGGCCCATTACAACTTGGTTGATTTAAATCAAATAATGAATGAGAAATAAATAACTCACCTTTCTTGGTGTATTTGTCCATGCCAAGTGGCTGAACTCGGAATCTGTTGAAACTCCAATGACTTGGCATTGTATGTTGTCAAATTCTTTACTTCTCTCACTGAATGCAATTAATTCAGTCGGGCAGACAAATGTACTAAAAAAATACAGCTATATAAGAAAAAATATTCATTGAAATCAACAGCTAAATCTATGGTCATATAAAATACGAGCTGTTGCCCGCGATTTCGTCCGCGTAGTATTAGAAAACATACAAAGTATATGAATTACAAAAAGTTACGTATCCCGCGGGAACCGTACTTTTCTGGGGGATGAAGCTTATCCCATGTGTACTCCAGACTTTATTTTATATCTGTACCAAATTTCAATAAGATATGTTGAACAGTTGCAGAATGATCGAGTAAACATTAAAAAACTAAATTAATGAATCCCACGGGAACCGTAACTATTCCCGGGATAAAAAGTAGCCTATGTGTTCTTCCAGACTATGCTCTAAACCTGTGACAAATTTCATAGAGATCCGTTCAGCCGTTTAGGCTACAAACGCTAACAAACATCCATCCATCCATCCATCTAAACTTTCGCATTTATAATATTAGTAAGATACTTAGAAATCGGAAAACATACTAAACATTATGAGGATTGAGGGGATTCAAAAGTCTAAGATCATGTCTAATATTTTTTGATCATTGATGTGAATTTAACGAATTAAATTAAAAAATAGGACCTTTACTGAAAAATATTAGGCAGGCAAGAATTAAAAGTAAAATGTAAGATGGACAAGCAACACCAAACTGCAGATGCAATACATGTCTTTGGCAAAGCTGCTAAGCTTTAAAACCAGCCAGACACAGACAAAATAGTTTTAAAAAAGAAAACAATAATACTACTATTTTTTTTAGCCAGCCAGATGGAGACAAAATCAATTAAAAAAAACTATTAATTAAGATATCATAGATCCATTAAGTGTTAGTGTTAACGTAGATGCCACGGCCCGGTTGGGCGAAGGAGAACACCGCGGGGTTTAGTGCGTAGTCCGGCAGGTATTAAGACCGGGAGTCCCACACAAAACTATTAAGTGTTAGTGTGAACATAAAACTAGTGTTAGTAGAAAATCAAATATTTATTATTAATTAATAAAATTCACAATTACACCAGCCTACATGTAAGTTTATCCAGCAAGCATGCCAAGCCCCATCTGTCCTTCAGATGCTTATACTAATAATAATGTGAAATATGTACTTACAAATCCAGAGGATAGAATAACAGAACCACATATTTCCCAGTGTAATCCGCAAGCTTCACTTCTTTAAACTCTCCATTCACTACTGCTGTACCTCTAAAGTCAGGTGCTGGTTTTTGAATTCTAGGCGCAAAAGCAGCACTGGCTGAAATAATAAAGTTACATGAATTAAAAAAAAAACTTCTGCTTGGTTAAGATTAAATCTATTTTGTAATAAAATAGAAATTGATTCATATAATTTACTTATTCATGATAATTTACACAAAAATAGGAAATATTTGCATTTTTGTATTTATTGAAATAACTCATTAACTAACTGGCCGATTTCAAAAATTCTCTCACCATTAAAAAGCTATGTTATCCGTTAGTAATATAGACTATGTTTTTTTATTGTTTTACATTCACCTGAGCGAAGTCACAAGCAACAGTTACAAATATATGGGATTTAAATTCTATGCATAATTATTTTTTTACTGTCCATGTTTCACAATACACTTTTTTGTATGCAGGGTTTTTTATACATTGACAATGTTAAAGGTAAATTTTTTTTATTTAGTATAAATGTACCCACACATAACACACATACACTTATAGAAAAAGATGAGGAGTTTTGTTTTATTTTTTTTCCAACTAGTTTTATATTTACTGTTGTATTTGAATTGCCCTATATCCCATTTTTTTATCTTTAGATTGATAAATCTATTATAATTATAAAGTTCAGTTTATTACGAGTATATAGCAGCCTCCGACTATCTACTCTTCCTCTTACACACTGGGGGGTGGCTGAAAATCAGCTTAACAGTGGATCTCTACCAGTATTGGTTAAGCTAACCTCCCATTTTGCCATCTGTTGCAAATTTTCATAAATGTTTGTTATTTATTTAACTCTGTATATTTTTTTGGATGGTAATAAAAAGGTTTTATTTATTTATATAAAACGAAAATGACTTATAAATAAAGTGAGATTGTTTCAATAGTGTCAGAATCAAGTATTATCAGTGACCTTACGATTTCCAACGATCTAGTCTAATTTATTGATAAGAATAAGAATCAATAAAAAGTCAATGTCATTTTTTATTGTAAATCAAATTAGTTAAAATTAAAGTGAGATTTTATGATTATGTAACTTACTTGTTGAGAAATTAGTTTTCCTTAATACAGATATTCCAGGTGCCAGAACCTGTAAGAAAAAAATACCGACGTAAAATATCACTTGAATTAAAAATTAAGATATGAATTAGAATGGCCTTACCCTGCGCAAAGATTGTTTTATGAAGAACGACATTTTAAAATTCCTTTAAGGTTTACTGTACTCCGGCTAAAGACTGTATTTTATAATAATGTTTTAAGGAACTTTCTCGTAAAGCAGCTATAACCAACTTATAACCGCAATATCTCTCAGGTGAAATTTTTGTTTGTCAGTTTGACACTTTTCTTTACCAGTTTTCATTTTGACAGCTGGCAGCTGATAGTATCTTAGATTTTTTTAATGGCAACAGCTTCACAAGTAAAGCCAAAATATCGACTTGTTAAGGCAAGATTTTAACTCAACAAAATTCCAATGATTTTTCTAATAGTGGAATTATAAACAAGAATATTATATCAAAATGTTAACTACACTGCTTTGTGAGGAAACTGTTATATCGGTGTTATAACCAGTTATAACGGTTAGTTATACAGATTGCACAATGAACAACATCGATTCTAGAACGAATATCGATAAAAACTGTTATTATTTTCTTTTAAAAATTACATTGTATCCGTCTGGCTGGCTTATATATATAAAGAAAATAAAATAAATATATTTTTATATGTATGTACTTATAAAATACTTATTTAATAAAAAAATATTCTTAAATAATAAAATACATAAACACTATCAGCCAAAACTATTATTAGTTTATTATTAATCGTGTTAAACACATTTAAAAGAGTTTTATTACAGAAACGATTTAGAATTGTTATGATTTGAAGTTTGTAAATGTATCATCGTTTTTAGAACTGGCTATTCCCGAGTTCTATGTAGTTATTTCTCAAATTCTTTTAACACAGTTTTGTTTCTTTTTAAACTTAAAGTTATATTTTGAGATAAATTATTTTGAGAATATTATAGGAGTGCTTTTGGGTCAGGGGAGTGCAAAGAAGCGGGGAGAGCTGTATCCCGAACGTCCTAGATCAATAATCGAAGTCTAGATGCGCAGGTCTGCTTGGAGACCTAAATATAATGGGGTTATATTCTAGGTGGTAGCGAGGCGTGGCTATTTGAAACAAAGGCCTTTGTTTGATTTTCATAGGAATCTAAGTGTCATATTTTGTTATAATATTTAAAAAAACCTACACTCATGCAATACTCATGAAATAACAAAAAAAAAATGCCCACGTTTTCAAATTTAGGACCAATTTCATATGAAATTTAATCCATTTCCCTTTAAATCTATTTCCTTAGTTCGATAGATTTACTTGTTGAATATTACTTATTAAATAAATAAAGTATTACTATGATTTTTGCTTTTATTCTGTATATGTGGGCGTGGTTCTTTCTAGAAATTTCCAAAATGGCAGCAGCCACGTCGACAACGCATGCGTAATGAGGTTATACGAGCTCAATCGATCGAGTTTTCCTGTCTGGTTCCTGTATATCAGTGCACCCCGCCCGCCCGGCTTTTCATTCGTTCTCGAGCCTTCCTGGAAAGTGGTCGTATTGGTTGCAATACGATTTCGCGTTGTGATATCTCAATAAATTTTCATATTTTCTTGAAAATTCGCGTTTATTGTGTTGTTTTATTACTTACTTAGTGGAATATCGTGTGAATTAATTGTTTAGTGATTTTATGCAACGCGAAGGCTCGCGATCGCAATCCTTGGGCGTGGCCGCCGCCATTTTTCTTTGGCCACCCCTCCCCCTTCCCTTCCATCGTCTCTTGTTCTGTGCAATTTGTGTCGCGCGCAAAATAAAATGTTTTTGCCACTTACCATGTCATGCAATTTTCATATTTGTATTTGATCGTGTGTCTGTGGCAAGGATATTTTGCATGCATAATGTTTGCTTCATGTGTTTACCTGTAATATCTTAAAGCTGGAATGTAAAATTGTAAAAAGTTTACTGAAATACTACCTTAGATTATAAGCATTTTAATTTTGTCTTTTGATTTCTTTGACTCTAATATCATATTTCAACAACAGGTGGTGCAAAATGGTGGTAAATATGGCGACGCTTGGCGAAATTTTTGCTGTGCCTACGAAGCGAAAACAGTAAGTTTGCGAGCTTAAATATTTTAATTTCTTAGTTTTGCAATCATCAAATTTATTCCAATTGTACATACATAATACATATTAAGAAAGTTTTATGTTGACCTGCGGTTTAGTAAATTTTTTCATGGGCGTGGCCCGATGGAGGGTGGGGGGACAGGGAGGGGCAAGCGCCCTTCAGAAACTCAAATAATGACTACAACTACAGACTTCAAACATGTAAAATAGATATAATACTACTGTGAATAAGACCATATTTGGGTGTTCATGTTAAACCTAGCTTAGGTCATCCTGGTGTCGCAAGTATTTTGCATAAAAAGTACATCCAACGAGAAGTGATACCAAAAATTATACTTGCAGCCACAAATTTTTTGATATGTTCTTACAATGTGATTTTTTTAAAATGTACATTTTATCCATCACATTAATTAAAAGTAGTCACGAAATTAAAAATAAAATTAAAATTATATACCAAATCGCGTAAATCTTTAAAAAATTAAGAAAAGCACCAAAACTATAGCAAATAATACAATGATATACTAAATGACCGCCCAAATTTTGGCGAAGCCATCTTATTTTTGCAAAAAGAAGACATTACGACAAGAACACAAGATAGAGAGAGATAGATAATATCGCAGCGACATCTGATGGCATTTAGCGAAATTGACGTCCGTCGAATAGTAGAGCTGTTTCCAGAATGTTCTATCGCAACGCCATCTATTAGCGAGTAGAGGAAAAGACATTAGCGAAAAGATGTCTAGAATATTCGAAGCGGTGCGGCGTCGAGAATGTTTTGTTGGAAAATGTATTCGATTCGAAAAACCGAAAATGTACTGGAATAAAATGACAAAAGAATGACGAAAAGACGATCGAAATTCGGGAACAGCAGATAGTCTTATGGTGTCAAGTTAACAGTGAAGAAGTGTCAAGTGAATTGTGAAGAAGAAAAAGCGTACGTGAAGTGAAAGTGATGGTGTTATAGTGTCATTAGTGTTTTGTAAAGTGCTCAGTACTAGTGACTGTGTGTTTGTGTATTTCTGTTTGTGTATTCGTAGGGTTGTAACGGAACTCCGCCGTCGCCTCCGTTATTTCTTATGCGGAGTTATAACGGAGGTTAATTTACGTCGTCAACGCGAGACGCGCGACGAGGCTAGTCCGCTGGCTTGAGTTACGGGTGCGGATTGGCAAATAAGAAACCTTACGTAATCGTATTTTGGTATAGTTTGAGCTAGGATTGTAACAGTGGGCATTTAAGCAGAGGCAGATGCAGAGGTGAAAGGCTTCCACTCCGCGGATGCGGAAGTTAACGGAAGCGGAGGCAGATACGGAGGTGAAAGACTTCCACTCCGCGGATGCGGAAGTTAACGGAAGCGGATTCGGAGGTGAAAGGAATCAACTCCGCGGATGCAGAAATTACCGAGAGCGGAGACAGATGCGGAGGTGAAAGGATTCAACTCCGCGGATGCGGAAGTTACCGAGAGCGGAGACAGATGCGGAGGTGAAAGGCTTCCACTCCGCGGTGCGCAAGTTACGGAAGGGGAGGCGGATGCGGAGGTGAAAGGCTTCTACTTCGCGGATGCGGAAATTAACGGAAGCGGAGGCGGAGGTAAATAATTAAAGGTTTACGTTGATTTAAGATATAAAAACTAAAACGAAGTTCATTTAAAATACAGATTGGTACATACGTATATGTTGGATACACTTTGTTGCACAAATATGACGTATTACAATTATTAAGTAGTGATGGTGTACTTACACCATAATATTATATTTATTTTTTACGAATCTCTGCCAAACTCATTCGAAGATGACAAACTGCTTATCGCAACTTCTAACCTCGTCGATCCAAGGTTAAACTTGCCGCGAGGTGCATCAAAGGACGGCACGTATAAACAGCACGTAGACAATTTCGTCACCAACAATAACAATAAAAAAAACACAAGCCTATGATTCGAAAAATGTGAACTGCTAGTTAACCAACAAGTCGCTCTTCTCGCGTTGACGACGTTAATTAACCTCCGTTATAACTCCGCATAAAAAATAACGGAGGTGGATGCGAATGCGGATTTATTCTTTCTTGCTGAAGTTCCGCACTTGCGGATGCGGAGTCGGAGCTCCGTTACAACTAGCTTGTGCGCAAGGCGCAGGCGTGGCCGGTCAACTAGTAATACATTTTCGAAATATACGCGCGTGCTTGTCTTTGAGATTCGATTGTTGTTATTGGATTATTTTATTATTGAACTGTGTTTTACTTTTTAATTCCTTTAATAAATCAGAATTTATTTTCACATTTCGCCTACAACTCCACTTCCGTTAAACTCCGCATCCGCATCGGCTTTCGTTTAAATGGCTTCCGTTACAATCCTAATTTCGTGTAGTGTTAGCGGGCGTACATTTTTGACAAAGCTATCGCACAACTGTCAATTGTCGATTGTTTCGCAGCCCATTCTACTGTTTAGTTGCAGAACGTAAAATCGAATTGCGCAGTTTAGTGCAAGTCAATAGTAATCAAAGTGAGACTAAACACTAGTTTTGGGTGTGCGTACGCTCTTTTAAGACAATTGTGACAGTGTGAATCCGTGTTCCTGTTAGTCGCGAATAAATTAAATTAGAATTATCAAAATATTTTAACTCTATCCCCCAATATATTGCCAACGCTACAGTCGTTAAGGGACTTTTTGTATCACTACTAGTTGGATGTACTGTAGAAGAATTTGTGTTTTTTTCCTTTATCTTGTCTGTTTGTGTCATTTTAAGAATTCCACTTACGGTTTTCAGATGGAAAAAGACGAACGATCAACGGTGAGTCTCCACTGTCTTGACACTTGTATAACAACAATATTGGATATATAGCAAAAATGTTCTTATACTTGTGTTACAACAGTTGAAATTCACAGTAACAAAATCATTGTTTAGAATGCCCGTCTTAACTTTGAAGACCAATGGAAACGAATAAATTTATTTTAACACTCAATTTTTATCAGGTTAGTAGAACTTCATTTATGTTTTCTATTTGATATTTACAAATACCTTAATTTTGACCACAGATATTATTTACAGTGATAACAAAATGAAGATGAAATTAAAAGAAAACATCGAAGATGTTGAGAAAAAGAAATTTGAGATTGATTGAAAATTGATCCATATACAAAACTTTGAGAAATTTGAAAGTGAAATCATGTGAGATAATAAAAGTTGACAATTAACTAAAAGAAACAAGAAAAACTCCAATCAAAATTGAAGAAAATAATTGAAAAGGCCACTTATTAATGGCTGTTTAGACATTTGAATACCCTTTCCTCATATCTTTTCCTTTGTTCCTTGATATTTTTTTATCCCTTTGTGCCTGTCAGTCTAGATCGTCGGTGGTGCAGTGTAAAGCACTGGACTTTCGGGTCGGTTTCAATCTCCGCCATGTACCAATGTGTTTTTCGGTTTTCGGATTGCACAAGTACAATTATCCGACGTTCTTACGGTGAAGGAAAACATCGTGATGCAACCTGCACATATCGGCGAAGAAATTCAAAGATATGTGTGAAGTCAACCAATCCGCACTTGGCCAGCGTGGTTGACTATGGCCTAGTCATCTCTAACATCAACTTTTACTGTCACATACAGACGTAATGCAAGCTAATGTTGTTTTTTGACAACTCTTAAATTAATCGGTTCTCAAAGTTAGTTATAATAAGATTTTTTATCTAATTTGGTGATTGAATCTTATGAAGCGAGGAATCAAACACCAAAGATTAAGCAGTGGTCCACCTGTGTTGTTCTGTTGTAAATGTGTTGCATGCAGTGCTTTTATTATATCTATGCGCAGCCAATTAAACGACACCAATTACAACTTATTTATTTATCATTGATGAATCTTTGAAATAATTGCTTGAGACTAATATTATATTTCCACAACAGGTGGTGCATACAGAAATGTTGGCTTGGATAGTTCATGAACTAGATGCTTGGCGCAATTTTTGCAATGCCTAAGAAACGAACACCGTAAGTTTATCTTTTAAATTTTTTATTAGAGTATCGTGAATTTTATAGTATTGGTGTTATTTTTATGAATGTTTCTATTTTTGTCTTTCAGATGACTGCCAGTTCGAGGGTCGAAGATGTCGAAAGAAATTGAAGATAGAAAAAAAAAAAACACTTTAAATTGTGAAAAATACACACAATTTAAACGTTACAAAAATATTGAACATTTACATAAAGAATCTGCATCAATATTTTTGGAAAGGCCAATTATTAACGGCTGTTTAGAGATTCAACCACTCACGTTTCCCTTATTCCTCCTTCTTAAAGTGCCATCTTCTTTCGAAGATCTGCAATCATCAAGGTTACTGCACTCTCGAAACTGCAGCTCTGAATATCCCATAGCCAGGATATCTTTCTTTGTCCCAAACTTCGTTTTCCCATACTCTTTCTTTAAACGATGAGTTGCAGCAGTTCATATTTTGCATTTCTCATTACATGGCACAAATGTTTCAGCTTCCTTTTCTTCATCGTGTATAGTACTTCCAATTACTTTTTCTTGCGTCCTAGCACGATGACATTTTTAGCTTCGTCTCTCCAAGAAATTCTTAACATTCTCCTGTATATCCACATTTCGAAAGCTTCCATTTTCTTGCTCATTGATTCTGTGAGTGTCCACACTTCTACGTACAGGAAAATGGAGAAAACGTAACAACGTGGTACATGCATTCTTAACTCAATGTTCAGCTTTTCACTGCAGAGAAGGGCTTCAGTCTAAAGAAAGCGTTACTAGATTACTCCATACGGCATCTTATTTCGAGACTATTATCTCCTGAGTCATCAACCCAGCATCCTAAATTACTACATTTACATTTACTATCTTCTTTTGGCTGTCAACTTCATATGACCCAGTCGGGTGGTCGTTTACAAATAGTCATGAATTTGGCTTTCATGGCATTGATTCAGAAGCCATATCACATACTGACAGTTTGGGCTCTATCTAGAAGGACCTAAAAATCTTCTATTGTCATCGCTACTAATACAGTGTCGTCAGCATAACGGATGTTGTTTTAAATTTCGCACTTCACTGTTTTACCTAAATCCACTTGATCTAACGCTTCGTAGTATCTGCGATAAAATACATCCTTGTCGTACTCCCCTCACGATTTTAGCTTCTTCTGTCAGTCCACCTTCTACACGTATTGTTCTGCCTTTTGGTTCCAATATACATAGGTGTCTAAAAACCTAAACCATACGTCTTTGGAGTCGAGGCCGAATATTTCTAGTATGTCAGTCATTTTGGCATGTTCTCTATCAAAAGCCTTTTCATAATATATAAAGCGCACAAACACATCTTGATTCATATCCCAGCCTTTCTGTATTAAGATTTGATTGCTAAAAAGGCATTTCTGCTAGGCCATTAATGAAACCAAATTGGTTGATATCTCGTCTTCACAAAACTTGTATATTCTTTTGTGAATTACTTTCAATAATTTTATATAATAATTTTGAGCCTTGTTCCTTGGCATTTATATCCGTTTGTGCGTTTGAGTAGATCGTCGGTGGCGCAGTGTAAAGCACTGGACTTTCGGGTCGGTTTCAATCTCCGCCATGTACCAATGTGTTTTTCGGTTTTCGGATTGCATATGTACATATATCCGACGTTCTTACGGTGAAGGAAAACATCGTGATGCAACCTGCACATATCGGCGAAGAAATTCAAAGATATGTGTGAAGTCAACCAACCCGCACTTGGCCAGCGTGGTTGACTATGGCCTAGTCATCTCTAACATCAACCTTTACTGTCACATACAGACGGAATGCAAGCTAATGTTGTTTTTTGAAAACTCTTAAATTAATCGGGTTTCAAAGTTAGTTATAATAAGATTTTTCATCTAATTTGGTGATTGAATCTTATGAAGCGAGGAATCAAACACCAAAGATTAAGCGGTGGTCCACCTGTGTTGTTCTGTTGTAAATGTGTTGCATGTAGTGCTTTTATTATATCTATGCGGAGCCAATTAAACGACACCAATTACAACTTATTTATTTATCATTGATGAATCTCTGAAATAATTGCTTGAGACTAATATTATATTTCCACAACAGGTGGTGCATACAGAAATGTTGGCTTGGATAGTTCATGAACTCGATGCTTGGCGCAATTTTTGCAATGCCTAAGAAACGAACACCGTAAGTTTATCTTTTAAAGTTTTTATTAGAGTATCGTAAATTTTATGGTATTGGTGTTATTTTTTTGAATGTTTCTATTTTTGTCTTTCAGATGACTGCCAGTTCGAGGGTCGAAGATGTCGAAAGAAATTGAAGATAGAAAAAAAAAAGACTTCAAATTGTGAAAAAATAAACACAATTTAAACGTTACAAAAATATTGAACATTTACATTAAGAATCTGCATCAATATTTTTGGAAAGGCCAATTATTAACGGCTGTTTAGAGATTCAACCACTCACGTTTCCCTTATTCCTCCTTTTTAAAGTGCCATCTTCTTTCGAAGGTCTGCGATCATCAAGGTTACCTGCACTCTCGAAACTGCAGCTCTGAATATCCCATAGCCAGGATATCTTTCTTCGTCCCAAACTTCGTTTTCCCTTACTCTTTATTTAAACGATGAGTTGCAGCAGTTCATATTTTGCATGTCTCATTATATGGCACAAATGTTTCAGCGTCCTTTTCTTCATCGTGTATAGTACTTCCAATTACTTTTTCTTGCGTCCTAGCACGATGACATTTTTAACTTCGTCTTTCCGAAAAAAATCTTCACATTCTCCTGTATACCCACATTTCGAAGGATTCCATTTTCTTACTCATCGATTCTGTGAGTGTCCATACTTCTACGCCGTACAGGAGAATGAAGAAAACGTAACTACGTGGTACATGCATTCTTAGCTCAATGTTCAGCTTTTCATTGCAGAGAAGGGCTTCAGTCTAAAGAAAGCGTTCCTAGATTACTCCATACGGCATCTTATTTCGAGACTGTGATCTCCTGAGTCATCAACCCAGCATCCTAAATTACTACATTTACATTTACTATCTTCTTTTGGCTGTCAACTTCATATGACCCAGTCGGGTGGTCGTTTACAAATAGTCATAAAGTTGGCTTTCATGGCATTGATTCAGAAGCCATATCACATACTGACAGTTTGGGCTCTATCTAGAAGTATCAGTCATGGCATGTTTTCTATAAAAAGCCTTTTCATATTATATAAAGCGCACAAACACATCTTGATTCATATCCCAGCCTTTCTGTATTAAGATTTGATTGCTAAAAAGGCATTTCTGCTAGGACATTAATGAAACCAAATTGACGTCTTTATATCTCGTCTTCACAAAACTTGTATATTCTTTTGTGAATTACTTTCAATAATTTTATATAATAATTTTGAGCCTTGTTCCTTGGCATTTATATCCGTTTGTGCGTTTGAGTAGATCGTCGGTGGCGCAGTGTAAAGCACTGGACTTTCGGGTCGGTTTCAATCTCCGCCATGTACCAATGTGTTTTTCGGTTTTCGGATTGCATATGTACATATATCCGACGTTCTTACGGTGAAGGAAAACATCGTGATGCAACCTGCACATATCGGCGAAGAAATACAACAACAAAGATATGTGTGAAGTCAACCAACCCGCACTTGGCCAGCGTGATTGACTATGGCCTAGTCATCTCTAACATCAACCTTTACTGTCACGTACAGACTAAATGCAAGCTAATGTCGTAATTCGACTACCCTCAAATTGATCGCGTTGATTTTTTTTGTATAATTTGGTGATTGAATCATATGAAGCGAGGGATCAAACACCAAAGATTAAGTAGTGTTTTGCCGCAAAACACTACGTATTAATTTACTCTGAATGTGTGTTGTAAATGTGTTGCATGCAGTTTTTTATTATATATATGCGTAGCCAATTAAACGACACCAATTACAACATATTTATTTATTTATTTATTTATCATTGATGAATCTTTGAAATAATTGCGTGAGACTAATATTATATTTCCACAACAGGTGGTGCAATCAGGAATGTTAATTTCGATAGTTCATTAACTTGACGTTTGGATAAAATCTAATTTTGCCTAAGAAGCAAAAAACGGTAAGTTTTGCCTACCCCTTGTTTAGTTATTGGCGTTATAATTTCTGCATTGTCTTAACTAATTTACTTTTTTTAGGTGAGGTGAGTCGGAGTTATAAGGACTTAAAAAATAAGAAACCTTAGTTTTAACACTCAATCACATGTTAACTGGTCAGTAGAATTTTATATTTTCTAGTTGACATTTTAGAGACGTCATTTGATTACATGTTTTGTTTACAGTGATATCTGATAAAACTGCAGAAAGAGGGAGAGCCATAACCAAAATATGAAGAATCGAACCGCAGAAAAAATTTGAAGTGTCTTTATGTAACTAAAATAGGAGAGCATAAAACATCACAACTAAGACGGTTTCGAGCTAAATACTTCATGATCACGAGATATGGCCAACGTTCATCTGAGATGGAATACAAAAACTTATAATTACGGGTAAAATAGAGGAAAAATGACTCTGAGAGCGCCGTATGCATTAGAGTAATCAATTATGCTAGATGAGTTTTGTAAGAAGCAAAAAGAATAGAAGAATTAAACTAAAAGCTTGAACTGTTTCGCTTTATCCCGTGGGGGGTTCGAGTCTGGGCCACTTGAGTCGTACCTGTATATCAAGCCTCGCAAATCTTAGCGGCCACGGATGTTTTAGAAAGAAGCTGTACGATATGAATTTGGTTGAATCAAGTATGTGTCAGTGCGTTATGCTGAGAAAGATGCTCATCACGTTCTGTGGAAGTATCCTCAGTATGTAGACCTGAAAACGAAAAGGATAAACGAATTGCTCGCCAGGATGCGGGTCAGATTTACTATCTGGATCACGTTAGCAACGGAGCCAACTATACCTCGTGAGCTCGCGCGTCAGTGGCAACAACGAAGATGTAGGCTGAAGTACAGTGGGAGCCTGACTGCAAAGGTGTAGATGATCTATTTCGTCCATTTGGGAGAATGCAACTTGCCAATCAAGACCCGAAATTGGTCTTCGCCTATATGAGGGTCGGTGGCACCATGAGTGTTAGTGGACTGTAGATGTCCAAATATGCACCGCGCTCGACACTTTACTATGTATAACGCCATCTACAACATTGAGAACCGCACATTATGATGAAACACCCTACGGGAGATGGTGAAGAAAAGAGGTTACGAATCAGGAATAAGGAAACGTTACGGAGAGATAAACAGAAATGCTTCTGAAATACGATGAAGTAACCACTGCCTATGACCTAAAGATGAAGTTACCTGATAATTTTATAATGTATTCGGATGCGACTGATCTGGCTTATTCGTTGAATGTAAAACAAATTATATAAATGATATAGAAGACATAGTGCGTCAATATACTGTTACATCAGAAGAATGTTATTTATAGTTAATTAATTTAAGAATCAATCGTAACATTGTAAAGACTAATTTATTTACTAAGATAACTCCTTGTAGAGTGTCTCTGATGTATCAATGCCAAGGGAAATTAATTGTTTATGATGTACTGAACATAATGTTTTTTATATTAATGCGGCAATCACATGTTTATCAATCAGATTATCTTATTATGTATAATCTCATCATAATTTCAAAATGTTAAAAATTAACAAACGTAACACGTAACACTGCTCCTTTCCAAGAGCGATTTCGCCCTGAAACGTTTTCGAATACTGCTAACTGTTCCCTACGCTAAGGTTCAATTTTCTTCCGCGTTATAGCTCCCTGGAAATAGCGCTAAGTCGTTAAAGTTGACTATCATTGGTTTTCCATGCGGCGACTTTTGTATTCCATAACAAGTATAATTGACACGCTTTAAAATCTCATAGGGTTTTTCCCAAGAATTTTGTAGCTAAGGCGACAAGCCTTGTCTAGATCTCCCTATTGAAAAGTTGTTTTCTATGCTCCTTCACCTTATCACTGGCGCTCGAAATGTTTAGGCCAACTCTTTTATATAAATCTTTCATTCTCCACCGCAGCTGTCTTACGTAGCTCCAGCAATATCGTTACCTGGTGGACAGGCAAACTTCAGATCACACCACTCCTTCACATCGTTTTCGCTCTGTACCCAATGTTCCCTCAATTTTCCTATGGTTCTTATAACCCTGTGTAATTCCTTCGTGAACTCCTTCCATCACTTCGATGCGTCTACAGATCTCTTTGTAGATTTAACAATTTTCAAGACTCCATCATTTGTATTAGGGAATCCCATTGAGCCCAGTAAGACTTATCTGTCAGTCGTATCGTGCCTCTTCTTGCCATGATGGTATTATACTTTTAATCTTCTAAGCAATGATCATGCTTAAATCTTGGACCTTCTCCTGGTCTAGTCTTAATTTTGCCGGCTGCCAGGCGTCATTAATTCCAGTAGTTCTACACAAAGTGGTTTTCTTTTCCTCAACTCTTAGGCAACATTTTCAGGTCTTCTTGACAAAGTTTCAGAATTCTTATGTGCTCGGTGTTCAATATAAAAAAGAATTCGGATTCTTACAATCTCTATATCTATCTTGCGACTTGTTCTTCAGGATTTTCTAACTGTAGTAAACAATATACTGTTGAAACTTTCGTGAGATATTAACTGAAACAAATTAAAACCGGGTCAACACACGTATGATCTTCCGGGGACGGTGACTTAATGTTAACAGCAACAGCAGTGATTCAACGTTTTTGAGCACGATGACATCGCCTTCGTCGACGCACGAAGCGGCCGCAGCGCACCCTGCGGCCGGCGTCATTTCTAGCCGCGTTCTTCGCGCCCTGGCCCACAGTGCACGACGCGACGGTACTTCGAAGTAAGCGAACCCTGAAACCAGAAAGGTACTAAACTAATCGGTGCCGTCACCGGAAGATCATACGTGAGTTGAGCCACCTTTAATTCATTTGAAGTAAACATCTCAAAGCAGTATAGTCGGTTCTCAGTAGAAACTCCAATCCATGCTAATGTTTAGTGATCCACTCCTTTTATATTATTCATACATATATAGATATCCTGGATAATTATTATTATGTTCATTTCTCTGAGTTGTCCGAGTGGTTCCCGTGAAGTATCATTTCTTCGCCACACAAAGTTAAAGATTTCCTCTTAAAATCCAACTGGAAACCTTCGGAGTTCATGATGTCCATTCCTATAATTACTTCTTCCTAGATGGCCGCTACGAACTATTACTTCACAATATATTTTCACCAACTCTCAGTCACTGTCTGTATATTCTTTCTATAGTTTCATCCGTTACAATATCAAGTCTCAGAATTGTTTTTGTCACACCTGTATACATATATAGTGTGTTCTTGTTCCATCCCCGAAAACGCCGTTTTCTACTAAATGTAAAGAATTGACTTTGGCTATACTCATTGTTCGACGCAGGTCGATGATCACCCTTTCGCATCAACCCTACTTTTTTTCACTACTACACTACGTTTTTTTTCATTGTCTCATCATTTTCCGCGCAATTTCTCCGAGTGAGTCCTAATTTATATCGGTATTTTCTCAATAACGCGCGAGCCAATGCAACGCCAATGATTAACATTCTCCAAATGACTTTAATCGTATCTCAATTCCAAATGTTTAATGAGCACATTAGAATTATCCTGTTCCCGGATGCTAATGGTTTGCAGAACATCTGTAGCCTCTCCATGAAGGGCAAACTATAATACTAAAGCTTTATCTGAATTAGTCCAACGATAAGCTCTGGACGCTGCTTCAAATTGACAGTGATAATTACTCCAATATGTCTTACCGCCATTCTCAAGGATTTTCATATCCACCATATCTTCCTCGGTTCTGTGTAGTAGTAGTTGGTAGTTGACATCCCATACTTTATCCTTTGATTCAAATATCTGATATTCTGCAAATTTCAGGGCATTAATCCCTTACTTGAATTTTTCAATCTCCTTACTTTCTTCTACCTTAAAAATATTGAACGTTACTTCTATCTCCACCAATTTTCCAATGAAAATTCATCCGCAGTTCGAGAAATTTCAAAGCAGAGGCTATCAGAGTCTTTATCTTCCTTCAATGCGATTCGGAGTTTTCGTATAAGTTTGGTTTTTATACCGCTCGCATCCAAGTCATCATCAACAGCCTTTATCTGGCCACTGTTGGACATAGGCCTTTCCCGTCTTGCACAAGATGCGGTCCTCCGCCTTCCATTTATAACGACTTCCAACTGTACAAAGTCGTCGCACCCAAGTTTCTTTCAATTCATTCCTTAACTCCACCACTTTCAAATCGTACAATAATGGCTGTGTGGCCATACTCTACTCCTGATATCAATTGTTACGGGTTTATTCATATTTCTTGATTATCTTTCAATAATCTTTCGGTTTTAAAAAAAACATAAACTACCACCACATTTTTATCACTTACATACAATCTATATCTATACTAATTTTTAAAGTGGAAATATTTGTATTGTTGAATTTTTGTATTCTTGTACTTTTGTATTCAATATTTTTGTATGTATTCGATTCGTTTAAAAACTACTGTGTCTATTTTAAGCTACTGAAATATTCAAGAAATGTTTGTTACTTTTAAAAGTACGTAAGGTAAGTAAGGTATATTTAAATAAGTACAGTTTTTAATCTGCGCGAGGCAATATCTGACCTCAATTTTTCAATGTGACTTTGTTCCAGCCAAAAATGTTAACTTAGAATGGCTAGTGTCGCATGAGACACTTCGGAGCAATTTGTCTACACATTGTTTACGCAGAGTTTCATATCTTGTCTTGTTGTATTTTTGTATGTATTTATTCACGTTAAAACTACTGTGTTGTTTTAAGCTACTGAAATGTTCAAGATTTGTTTTATACTTTTGAGAGTTTTTCAATGTGACTTTGTTCCAGCCAAAAATGTTAATTTAGAATGGCTAGTGTCGCATGAGACACTTCGGAGCAATTTGTCTACACATTGTTTACGCAAAGTTTCATATATGATTATCACCCGGAAAATGATTTGAGGGTAGTATTAAGGACAAAAAGTATACAGACGAATTGTCTATTTCCTTCTGTGTCAGTCGGTCATAAGAACATTCGACATGTTGTCAATTTTAATTAAATACTTTTGTATTGTTGAATTTACATATGTATTTATTCACGTTAAAACTACTGTGTTGATTTTAAACTACTGAAATGTTCAAGAATTGTTTGTTGTTTTTAATCATCATCATCATCATCACCAGCTCACATACGTCCCCACCGAGGGGCTCGGAGCCTACCCTAAGTAAGGGTGACTAGGCCATAGTCAACCACACTGGCCAAGTGAGGGTTGGTCGACTTATTTTTAATAGTTAAGTCTATTTACATAAGTACAGTTTTTAATCTGCGCGAGGCAATATCTGACCTCAATTTTTCAATGTGACTTTGTTCCAGCCAAAAATGTCAATTAAGAATGGCTAGTGTCGAATGAGACACTTCGGAGCAATTTGTCTACACATTGTTTACGCAGAGTTTCATATCTTGTATTGTTGTATTTTTGTATGTATTTATTCACTTTAAAACTACTGTGTAGTTTTAAGCTACTGAAATATTGAAGATTTGTTTTATACTTTTAAGAGTTTTTCAATGTGTCTTTGTTCCAGCCAAAAATGTTAATTAAGAATGGCTAGTATCGCATGAGACACTTCGGAGCAATTTGTCTACACATTGTTTACGCAGAGTTTCATATCTTGTATTGTTGTATTTTTGTATGTATTTATTCACGTTAAAACTACTGTGTTGTTTATACTTTTGAGAGTTTTTCAATGTGACTTTGTTCCAGTCAAAAATGTCAATTAAGTATGGCTAGTGTCGCATGAGACACATCGGAGCAATTTGTCTACGCAAAGAGAGTTTCATATATGTTTATCAGCAGAAATTGATGTTTTCTTTTTTTTATATGAGAAGGGGGCCAACGAGCGGCGGGAACACATAGGTGGTTAACGACGCCCATGGACATCCGCAACACCAAAGGAACTACAGATGCGTTGCCGGCCTTTGAGGAAATTCTAGGCTCGCTTCTTGAAGGACCCTAAGTCGTATTAGTTTGGAAATACCGCCGAGGACAGACCGTTCCACAACGCAGCTGTGCAGGGCAGAAAGTTCCGCGAAAACTGCACGGTTGTGGAATGCCAGCCATCAACATGGTGAGGATGGTACCTGGCGGTCTGTCGTGTCGTCTGATGACGAAACTCGGTGGCAGGAATCGTTCCAAACAACTCCTTGGAACACTACCCGTGGTAAATACGTAAAAAATGCAGAGGGAACTGACATCCCTCCGCGAGGGCAGAGGATCTAGCCGATCGGTAAGAGCTCGCTCGTGGTTAGTATTAAGAACAAAAAATTATACAGACCAGTTGAGCCTCCTCCTTTGTCAGTCGGTCATAAGAACATTTGACATGTTGTCAATGTTAATGAAATACTTTTGTATTGTTGAACTTTTGTATTTTTGTAGTCTTGTATTGTATTTTTGTATGTATTTATTCACGTTAAAACTACTGTGTCGATTCTTAACCACTGAAAAGTTCAAGGTTTGTTTTCTACCTTTGAGAGTTTTTCAATGTGACTTTGTTCCAGCCAAAAATGTCTATTTAGAATGGCTAGTGTCGCATGAGACACTTCGGAGCAATTGGTCTACACATTGTTAACGCAAAGAGAATTTCATATGTGTTTATTTGAAGAAATTGATGTGAGGTTAGTATTAAGGATAAAAAATTATGCAGACGAATTGAGTACCTCCTCCTTTGTCAGTCGGTCATAAGAACATTTGACATGTTGTCAATGTTAATGAAATACTTTTGTATTGTTGAACTTTTGTATTTTTGTATTCTTGTATTGTATTTTGTATGTATTTATTCACGTTAAAACTACTGTGTTGTTTTTAAGCTACTGATGTGTTCAAGAATTGTTTTTTACTTTTGAGAGTTTTTCAATGTGACTTTGTTCCAGCCAAAAATGTCTATTTAGAATGGCTAGTGTCGCATGCGACACTTCGGAGCAATTTGTTTACACATTGTTTACAAAAAGAGAGTTGCATATGTGACTGTCACCCAGAAAATGATAATGAAATACTTTTGTATTGTTGTTGTATTTTTGTATTTTTATATTCTTGTATTTTTGCATGTAATTGATTCACGTAAAAACTACTGAATCGATTTTAAGCTACTGGAATGTTTTACAGTTGTTTGTTACCTCTAAGAATTAAGTTTTATTTACATAAGTATAGTTTTTAATCTGCGCAAGGCAATTTTTCACCACAATATAATTATCAATGTGACTTTGTCCAGCCAAAAATGTCAATTAAGAATGGCTAGTGTCGAATGAGACACTTCGGAGCAATTTCTGTACATATTGTTTACGCTGAGTTTCATATGTGATTTATAACCCCCAAAATGATTTGAGGGACAAATTGAATACCTCCTTCTTTGTCAGTTGGTCAAATAGACATTTGACATGTTGTCAATGTTACCGTAATATTACTTTTTGTTCGTTTTCAATTGATGTGTTAAACTGTAATGGAAATTAAAATGTACTTTATTAACCACAGAACAAGTTTTATTTGCATTTCCCTTCACTTAAATAACAAGCAAAATATTGAAAATCGGTGGGAAACGGAAGCATACCGCTTATCTTATCATCTCCCTGTCCATTCTACAAAAGTAGGCCAGCACCAGGTTTCAGTCATGCAGATCAATCGATCTTCCGATATTTCAGTCATCACTCCCCTTTTCATCATGTTTATCCAACCCCCCCCCCCTCCACACTCTTAAGTAAAGTTCTCCCTGTCACATCTGATCCTTCCATCCTTATAACATGCCAATACCATCTTTACCTTTTGCTTCCTCCCCGAACGACGCTAGTTAAGACTAAGGCTAGTTCTTGGGAAGGGGGTGGGGGGAATATCATCGATATGGTCGTATTTGTAGTGGTTTCCATAACAAAAGATAAAAAGGGGGCATCTGCCTTAACCACTATCTCCACTTATTGACTCTTATACTTGATACCCTAGAGATTATGGAAGGTGGCAAATAGAGTAAACGTACACTTGATGTTAAGTTAACGCTATCTATAAGCAAGCTGAGGTGCAGTGTCTCCCTTCGACAGAGGAGAGGACAACCGTTAATAGATGGGGAAAAGGTTTTCCTCTTGCCATTTCTTTCTGATAAATACTTAACTACTCCTTTACGTAATATTTTGATGATATACTACTAGACTAGATCTTCGTTTTCACCAGTCCAGTCGGCTTATTAGGTTCTCTAAGACTTAAGTAGACGTACGTAGATTAAATATCGAGCAACAGATAAAGAAGGAAGCAGACAAAAAGGGTAAGGTAGTAAATTACTTCTTCTAATCTACCATATACTTATGACGTCAGCTCTATGGTTACTTCGTCGATATGCTTTCCTGACATCACTGCCTCTATATCCTTCATGAGTTACTGCTCGATTAACTGCTCTATGATATCGTCACCAACACTCGAACTCTATCAAAACGCATTAGGGGTTTAAGTTTTCATATTAAATTCTGTTATTTCTTGACTGTCTATGGTTCTGTATCCTAGGCGCCTAGTTCTGCTCACTTTACTTCTCGTAAATATATATACATATTACATACCAATATAATAAAGCGTAAACACACACTACTTCGTGGCGGAGGATGTCAGCAATCACAACATATTTTTGAATAATCCTTATTTTAATAAAAAGCCTTACATTTACGACACGTTTTAGGCTATAAATTGAAAAAAAAAAGCTTCAGGTGGGAAAGAGACCATAAACTACAAGCTGCCAACATTAAGGGAGCAAGGTTATTATGGTAACATTAACTTTGACATTTGCAATTTAGAATTTGACAAATGTAAACAATAAAATAAGGATTTTATAATTTCACGCGGACGAAGCCGCATGGGAAGAGTCATATAAAATACATCTAACGTGACAACGTGAGGCTTGTCTTCTGAAATTTCCGACTCTTTAGAGCAAATATGGTCTGTCAGTATATCCAAAAATCAAAACCAGTGTTGCCTTCCTTAGCAAATTTTAATATACTGAATAGTTTGTCAGATTTAATTTTGAAAATCCCAATTTATTGCAACATAGATTTTATTAGGTCAGGGGAATGCAAGAGGTGTGCTGGACCACTCCCTTAAATCGATAATAGAAGTCTAGATTGCGCAGGTCGACCTGTGGACCTATACCTGTATATGTCACAACATCCCTTTTGAAACAAAGGCCTTTGTCTCCTTATCACAGAATCTGAAAGCTTATAGAATGTTTTAATAACTGACATCATTAAATTTTATCTTCTAGAAGTCATTGATGTTATGAGCAGCATTTTTTATCATAATAAATAAGGTTTTTAGGTTATTTTGTGCTAATTTTCAGGTAAACAAAATGGCGGCCGTCCGGTCTAGAAAAACAGTCCACGCATGCGTATTCAATCGGGATGAGGTCAATCGATTCAGCTAGAATCCTGTCACGTTTACAGTCTTGTGTAAATCATTTGTTCTCCAGACTGGTGGAGTGTGGTTGTGTTTTTTAAAATATTGTCTGGTGTTGTGATACTTTAATATTTTTTTTCTTTAGTTTCTGTTGATTTACTAAGTTATTTTAAAGTTTCTTTTGAGTTATGGAGCGATTAGATTTAAAAATTAGTGATGTGCGATCACTATATATTTTTAGATATAGCGACGCCCCTTTGTTTATTCCTGTTGCTTTAATTTCCTTCCAAATTTGAGTTGCGTAGAAAATGTTATTTGTTGATCAATCGGTATTTAACGAAATCGAGTACATTTAAATAGATTGTCGCATTGTTTTGATTTGGAGTTTTACTTTTTTCAAAATTCAACACATAAAATATTTTGAATATCCAATGTTTTTTATTTATTTATATTATTGTTGCGGAAACATTTTCTTTGATTCAATTCAGGTCATTAATAATAAACATTATTCCAACAGGGAGGTCAAAGAGTTGGTTGAGCATTTCTATATATTTACGAGAAACAAAGTGAGCAGAACTAGCTGTACTAGGATACAAGAATGGTAAGTATGTAACCATAGACAATCAAGTAATAACAGAACTTCTAGTGTTTTAGTATTGAGTTTGTACGTTCTCTTTTTCCAGATGGAAATCCCACAGTCAAGTTCGAGTGTTGATGACGATATAATGGAGCAGTTAATCGAGCAGCAACTCATGAAGGATATAGAGGCTGTGATGTCAGGAAAGCGTATCGACGAGGTTACCGGCGAGCTGACGTCAGCCCCACTTGGTGATGAATACATTATGGCGAAGTTACAAAGTACGAAGCAACGACTTTATGATGATGATGAAGATGATGAGGTATTTAGTCATGACTAGCTTTCGCCCGCGACTTCGTTCGTGTGGAATTAAAAAAAATCAAAACAGAGTAGCCTAATTTCATCGAAATCCGAATCCGAAATCCATCCATCTAAACTTTCGCATTTATAATATTAGTATGATTAAAGAAATTACGAATGAAAAAGCGATTTACATTAAGAAAATAATCTCTGTCACGTAGGATAAGGACAGAGAGATGAGGAAAGAGGGAGATAACTATATTTTGGCAACTCCTGCGTCTCGGTGTGTCCGCTTTTGCCCTAAAGACAATATGAAGGCAGTTTCCTCAAATGTTTTGAGCAGCAGGAAACTGTCATTGTCATAAAAACCCCTGCACAGATTTGACGATAGCCTTTTGACGTCACGTCTTAACTAACGGTACTATTCAGACGAGAGCAAACCCTCAGCGCACGATTGACTATTGTTTCTTTTCAGCCAAACGTGAAGGAAATTCAGCCCAAGAGCTTCAGGGATAGGACCATCTTTAAAAACTTCATACGCGGATGCAAAAGTAAATTTTGAATTGTTTTAAATCTAATAATTAATGATTAATTTGTACTATTTTCCTAGCTATTATCCATTGATCTGCATACATGGACAGGCATGCCGTAGTAACGGTACCTATTTGATTGCCAATAACGCTGAAAAGTGCGGTTGGTAGCAGTGATGAGGACACGAACTAATAGACTTTGGAACAACCTGTCTATCTATAGAGATCAGTGTTTTAAACCCACATATTGGTGAAATCAGCTTTGTTTTTCTTCTGTTCTCAACGTTGTTAAATATAATTGTTATTTCACAGCGAACCCGTATCCCGAACGTGGGTCTATAATAAAAATAAAACTGGCAGAGAGCGTGGAAGAAGTGAAAATGGATGGAGGGAAAATTAAAGATTTGGTCGTGGAAAAACATGTCCAAATGAATTATGATACCGGTGAATGGTCGATTGTTAAAATCTACCGCGACCTCCACGGCGCAATAGTACCAACGCCGCCAGCGCGATCAAAGAATAATAAGCGAAAACGGCATTAAAAATCTTTATATAATTAAACTAGTTTTATGGTATATCAATAAATATACATAAAAAAAAGAAATTCGGGAAGATGTTTAAAAATATTTCAAGCATTTCTTCACTTTAAGTAGTGGTTATTTATATAATCTTTGATTTAAAAGTACAGTGTAAGTTTTGAGGTTATAATGACATGCAATTTTTTTGAGGTTAAAAGTCAAGATCAAGAAATAGAAAAGCATAGTTTATAAGTTTACGTAATAAATGTTTAAATAAATATTACTGTTTTATTTTGAGTGATTTCCTTGGTCGTTTAAAACATTTACATATAAAACAATGCATTAAAAATAATACATCCAATAGCTAGCTGTAGAAAGCCTTAAAATAATTTCTTTGATGAGAAAATCGAAATTATTCCATTATTCCAGTCCAGCAATTAAAATCAGCACTGGCCTGGAATCATGATAACAGGACATTAATATTTGTTAAAAAAGCTAAATTTTCTGAAGCCGATTGCAGACTATAGAAGACTTTATTACTTTCTTCTCAAATAAATTTATTATGGCTTTTTAATAAAGCTGGATTAAAAAAAACACAGATTACTTTTTTAATCTTTATTCAACATCATGGTAATATAACTTACAATAATTAACAATTATTTCACGGAATTAGCCCCAAGGGCAATGGGGTGAACGTCTAACACTAATTGGGGTTACATGTGAAAAACGTGGACAGCTCTAAACGTTAACTAACTCCGTAACCATAGACTAAACACTTTAACTTAAAGCGTTTCAAAGTGTCACAAATAAAAGTCGAAAATCTTTATTTTTAAAAGATAAATTGTATAGAGCAACATTTGACCCGGTAGGCATCAAACTAAATTGACAGCTCACTAGCGCCCTGCAATGTCAAAAGCCATTTCGTTCTGTACTTGTAGTCAGGTATTTTTAGGTTACTTTCTGAGATAAATAACGCCTATGTCACCGGCTCAAATAAGCTTGAATAAAACTATTACTTATTAGAATAATGAACAATATGATTGAAGTTATTTCAATAAAAACTAAAAAACCATACAATATAAAATAGTGACACATTGACAAGTGATATTAGTTTTTTTAGCTTTACAACATAAGTTACCAGTTAGTTAACGATCAAGTAAATATTTAGAACAATAGCATAATCAGATGTTCTACATATTTCTAAGAGCTTCGATTTTAGAAACATTTGTAGCACATTATAATCTAACGCTAAAATGTATAAGATAATTAACAAGTCATAAATGTTTACAGATTATAAATATCTAGCCGTTACAGATAAATGCAATCCTACAGTGACAGGATTAAAAAAGCTTGCGACTAAAACATAACCTTAAAAGTCCACTTTACTGGCATTTATAGTACATATTGTTATCCCTTACATTTAAAAACAGAGACAACATGATTTATTACAACTGTCACGGCAGGCGAAACCCACAGTTATAACATTGTAAATAACAACTTTATTTTTTTAATACTGACAAAAATAATTCTCTTAAATTATTTCAACTATATTTTAAAATTAACGTCCACAAATTGAAGCGAATAAATATTTAAAGACCGATTAATATCGCCGCAAGCTTATAAACGGTTACTAAATGAGTTATTTTCTAACGTTATAGCGGTTACTTAGGGCAGTGCGAGTTACTGGCCGTATATAAAAAAGTCTACGCTTTTTTAATTTTCAAATTTTAAGGTTATAGCCGTTATATGTACGTAGTTACAATACTGAATGTTATTTTAACATTTAAAATATAATTATTACAGTTATTAGGGCGATTTAATAAAAAAAATGCACACATAACACGGTTTGTGTTTGTTTTTCCATTTAACAACGAGATAATTTAAGAAAGTAATGGAACATTGATTCAAATATATTTTATAATGGTCCTCTAATATTTACATATACGCTGACGCATTTTTACTACGTTTAACATTCTATTAGGATTAGGTTTCATTGTTACAATTAATATTAATTAGGATGCAATTTCTCTACATTTATTTAAATTTCATTAACGTTTACTACTTTTATAAACATCGAAATTCATTATAACATTTAAAAACATTAAATTGACATTATTAATTGTTGCAAACATAGATGATTCCTATGTAAGCCGTTGTTTATCTAGAGATTGGTACTGACAGACGTTACTCAATAAAACATTACGCGGTGTAACATTGTTATGCGTTTTTCCGTCACATATACTTGCATGATCGTTGTGTGATATACAGATTGTAACGTCGGTTATTATCAACCTTAAGATTATAGAAAACATAAGGTTCCAATGGACCACAAATCACAGTTGAAATGTCGCTATTGGAGAGAATATTTTATGTTTAATTCATTATACATTTAATGGGCTTGTTAAGCAAAATCAAAGCCAATACTCATTGCAATAAAGTGTTCACAATTTCTGTGCTAAAAGTAAATAACCGTTTTAACGTTAACTAAAACCAGCGATTCAAATAGCGTTATATAACATAACAGCACTAATACCGTTATAGCTAAGTTATTTAGACGTGAATATTTTTAATGGAATTATTGAAAATAATTATTGTCACTATAAACTCATTAAACACACACATATAAACGACATATAATTGACGAACAACACACACACATACGTAGATCTATTAAAGAAAAACAATTTAATAGCATTCTATAAATATTACAAAGAAGTATTTCCTCATAAAGGTTTAACAAATAGATGTTAGGTGAAAGCAAGATTCCTTTAACTATAGAGAAATGGACCAGGCAAAAATACGCGATTTTATTACATAAAAAGTCTGGTAATTTTCGCGGGAAAAAAATCACACATGTGCATATAAACGCACACTGGATTAAAAATACACACTAAATATACGTGTTGTGTATGCACATGTACCATGCCTGGAATGGAACGGTCGGCTGCGCCCGACGACTACGTCTAGGTGACGTCAATAAACCAGTCTGCATTAAGCAAGCGTTGTTTTAGTTACTCCCATACTTATCAGTACGTTATAAAGTATAATATATATTGTTCGGTTTTATATGATAGACAATGCGCGTTTAACAGGTCCTGTCTCTTAAAAGTCAAAGATATCGAGAAGATTTTTCTATGTCAATGACATTGTTACAACTTTTTTTACTAAAACTTAACAACTTCCAATAATATAATTGACAGTTACATTTAACATCTATACAGATAAATAGTTATACATCAAATTTTAAATTTAAAACTATAACGATTTTTAGGCTATCGAAGACAGACAAATTGAGTTTTCACTGGAAACAAAGTTGAAAAACATATTGAAAAACACATCTCTTGTTTTATTGATGTATCACAACATGTTTTTGTACAACTTTAAAATGGAAACCTACGGTAAGCAATTTCACAAGCAACGTTATTGATAGCACGCCCATACTATATCAGAAAATAATTAAAAGCTATATTAATGCCTAGTTGACACTATACCAGTACAGTTAGACAGTAACTTTCAATAACTGATTTAGTGTTTGACTGGCATAATGAGAACATTTACTGGTGCCTGTGAGTCTATACTAACCACGCCTAGCCTCCGGTACTGTCAAACTGTAGTAGCCAAGTGTTAACCAAGTTTAAAAGACTATTATTTCGAGTGTACTGGCATATTGACACATTAACATCTATTAAATTACTTTTAAGAAGACAGAGATAGCATATATCAAATGTCACGGCGGTAGTACCACATTTACAACAGTTTTTACGCAATCTGTCAGATTTAAATGGTTATATTATTCCAGTACAGTAAGGTAATTGCGATATCCTAGCATGGATTATTGACTCACTGGAACCAGTCTGGAACGTCTACATTATGTCAGTTGTATGCCAGCACGGATTAAAACTGTCCTACTATACTGGCATAATGCAAACATAATAAACAGATAGAATAATTAGGAAGATCAATTATTTAAAAATACGCACTACATTTAGCAAAAAATGGAATAAGTTACTTCTACATCCGACGAAAAAGGTACATTCTACGTTAGAATATTTTAAAAAGACGTAACTCTTTTCATCGGGTAGTAACTTGAGGAAGAAGGCCGAGGTAGGTGTGTCCGTTGCAAATCTTGGTACAAACGTATAAGGGTGCATAGTAACATTTGTAAACATTAGAAAATTCTATTCATAATCAACTTAAAATAATACAATAAAATTATTTTTAAAAACTAAAATGACTAGAGTATAATTTAGAATGAGCGAATAGTATAAAAAAATTCTAACAATTTATTAAGCTGTCTAGTTTCTATTACAAAAGACATCTAAATCTAATATGTAATACGTACTCTATATTTAAAAACCGTTTTCTGTATTATTTAAATTTGTATTATATTTAATTCGTGGATCTCGATGTTTTACGATTGAAAACCCTTTTACCAGTATAGGAAATTTGAATGCTGTTTATTTTCAATTTGTGCGTGGATAGGCCACGATCGTGTGGAGATAGAGTTTAGAATAAAAAAATAAATTACGTTTATTTAAAAAACAAAAATATGTCAATAAAATATAAATCAAACTCTTGTATTACCAAAAATAATGTCTCGTTTAACTTTTTAAATGAAGAAAATCCTTAATAACTTTGAGTATTATTTGGGTTCCTTCCGTATGTTAAATTATTTTTATAGATTCTATTTCAATATCGATGTCTTATTATTCATAAGATGTATTAGACCGTTACATGTATTTTTTTGTGGCCAGTATTTTGTAGCGCGCTCTTTATTTGCAAAATTAAATACGATTTACATAAAAAATTAACTTATACTGATACTGAAAAATCTACTTACAAACACAGATCGTTTAATATTTTTAATGAGATCATTATTCAATATACATTAAAAGCTTAGTTAACTTAGTTGATTGGCAAACATAAAACAAATGCTAATATTATTTTCATTTAACCAACAAACATTTAAAAATAAAAAATGACGATACATACTCTTTGTCAAATCGGTTACATACTCTTTGACAAATCGGTGAGATACTCTTTGTCTGTCAAAGAGTATGAAACTGTTATTTTCAAACAATAAACTTGTAGACAAATTAATACGCAGATTCGCAATCTGGCTGATGGAAGTTGCCAAAGACATTCAGCTCGTAGAGGCTGGCGAGGGTTATGAAGAGCAGGTACCAAATCATCAATACCACGCCATACTTACGGTCGAGTTTCCAGCCGTTGGCGTGCGTCGCTACCACCAGGAAGATCACCGTCGAGAACAGAGACAGCGTAGAGTAGATTAGACCTGGAAAATCATAAAATACAATTACAAATATATAACTATATTTCCTTAACGTGAAACCATGTATCCTTAGAGCACGGGTACACCTTTGACTGAACTATCGCACAACTGTTTAGTCTCGCTTTGGGTATGTATTCATATGGAGATGGGCACACTATTCGATTTTTAGTTGTGCAACTACACATTGCAGCAAAACAATCGACAGTTGTACAATTGTTTAGTCAAAGATGTGCGCCCGTTTTAAGAGTTTCAATATCATAGAGTAGTTATAGAAAGGACGCGCCAAAGTGGCCTGCGATATTGAGAATAATTTTTCACAGCTGTTATTTAAAAATGTACGTGACGACTAAGTAACCTGTGTCTACTATAAAAAAAATCTGTGTAATAGAGTGTATGGTATGGTACTAACCTTTGCTGATGACATTGACGTGGCTGCCGGGGTGTATGATGGCGGTCTGTATGAACCAGGGCAGGCCGAGGCACACCAGGATGTCGAATACGTTGGACCCCACCGCGTTAGAGACCGCCATATCGCCGTAACTGGAGTAATAATATAACGGAATCTGATGTAGTTATTTCAATAGAAAAAAAGCTTCTTTTTCATCTATTTTAATATAGATTTTTTATTTCATAAATACGATTAGTAACGGCCATAATTAACGCTTTATTTTGATAACTAGCTTTCGCCCGCGACTTCCTTCGCGTGGAATAAAAAGACAAAAGTGAGTAGCCTACGTGTTCTTCCAGATTATGCTCTACATCTATGTAAAATTTTATCGAGATCCGTTCAGCAGTTTAGACTAGAAACTCTTAACAAACATCCATCTATCTAAATTTTAGTAAAGTACGAGCTGTTGCCCGCGACTTCGTACGCGTGGTATTAGAAAACATACAAACTATATAAATTACAAAAAGCTACGTATCCCTCGGGAACCGGATATTTCTCTGGGATGAAGCTTATCCCATGTGTACTCCAGACATTGTTTTATATCTGTGCCAAATTTCAATAAGATATGTTGAACCGTTGCAGAATGATCGAGTAAACATTAAAAAACTAAATTAATGAATCCCACGGGAACTGTAACTATTCCAGGAATAAAAAGTAGCCTATGTTTTCTTCCAGACTATCCTCTAAACCTGTGCGAAATTTCATGGAGATCCGTTCAGCCGTTTAGGCTACAAACGCTCACAAACATCCATCCATCCATCTAAACTTTCGCATTTATAATATTAGTAAGATGATTTATCCTAATCCTATCCTATTATTATCTGATCTAATTGTTGCAATAAACTATTATTTTTTTTTAGGATATTTTTACATAAATTATCTATTTCACAGATGTGATCAGTTAAGGTTAACGCTTTATTTTGTTCTGAAAATTGAAAAATCACCCTGAAGGGCAGTTTGTAAAGGGTTCTGGTGAGGTTACCACCAAAAATTTAGTAAGTCAAACTCCACATAACCCTATTCTCCCCAGAAGGCCCGGTATCTTTAGATTTCCCCTTCTCCCGTAACCAAAAAAAGATCACTTTGTAAAATTTACTGCTTAATGCATGAGTAGCTTCCAAGAGGATCCAAAGACCTGCATTTCTCCCATTTAATTATTTTTGTTACAGCTTACCCTTCCTTGATGACAGCGAGCGAGGAAAGAGCGTCAGGTACGGAGACGCCCGCCGCCACGAACGTCAGCCCCATCACTGTGTCAGGGATACCCAAAGTGTACCCTGAGGACATACAAAATCAACTATTTAGTCATAATTAGACTATGAATTGCACTAGGGGCATCTACCAATGGATATTTGAAACACTATAAAAATAGCAAAAACCGCAATCAACAAAAAACATTTAAAAAATATAATTGTGAATAACTTTTTTAACCGGTACTTTCTCTGAAAGGTACTAAACGAGTTGTCACGTTTAGTGCCACCTCGTGTCCTTGTATTGACAGGTCATAAAACATTTTACAAAATTTTGATATGCTCCATTTCTTGATATGAAATAAATTAACCTTTTTAAAAATAAAATATAAACATTTAAATATTATTTAAAAACACCTATTAACAATTTAAATATATAAATAGATAGAGTTTGTAAGAATCAATAAAAAAAACATGTGAAAATTGTTTCAAGTGAAATATCAATGCCGCCTCTATATATTTCTTACTCTTCGTACTAACCGATGATTGTGATCATCCAGACCATGAAGTAGGAGTAGAAGGAGATCCAGAGCATGGAGATGATGAAGGTGACGGGGTACCAGCGGCCGCGGCAGTCCGGCATCGTGCGCCGACACGACCAGTGGATGGGGAACGCCACGTACCAGCACGCCAGCTGCAGCTTGTCTGCAAATTGTACAAATGGTATATTACTAACCGAATTATTCAAATAGTCAAATTAAAACCGCATTTAATCATACTAATATTATAAATGTGAAAGTTTAGATGGATGGATGTTCGTCAGAGTTTGTAGCCTAAACAGCTTAACGGATTTCGATGAAATTTGGTATAGATGTAGAGGATAGTCTGGAAGAACACACAGGTAACTTACTTTTGTTTTTTTTTTAATTCCACACGTACGGGGTCGCGGGCTAAAGCTAGTCATGTATAAAACTCACTTGCACCAACTGGTTTAACGAGCGGGTCCACTGCGGTCTCCGGGTTGTACTCCTTTGCCTTGTAGTAGGCGGGCATGGCGGGCGCGATCGGCTGCAACACAAATTACACCTTAACACTTTGTAAAAAGTCACATTATCAATTAAAAGTGTAATGTTGAAGGTCTTACAGACAAGACATCGTTAATTAATTCCTTTGATACGCTGACAAATTCTTTAAAAACACCTGTGTAGTCAACTTAATGTTTTTTTTTATAGCATAAGGTGGCAAACGAGTAAGCGGCCACCTGAAGTCGCCAAAATGGCGAAGCGACCGCTGCCCATAGACATCCGCAATTGCAGATGCGTTGCCTACCCTTATACGACGGAGGAGGAGACGCACATAAAGAGGATATTTCCCTTTCCTATGCATCTCCTCCACCGTCAAATCCACTTCCTCTTCCCAACCTCTTCTTATAAGAAAAGGGTGGTAAAGAGAAAGGGACTTAAATTAGGCCTCCATGATGGATGATGGATTAAAAATGTAATATTTCTTCTTCTTAACAATATGCCGCTCACAGCTATGCATAGACATTTAGTTTTTTTTTATATAGGCATTCCCGTTCTTCACTAGCGTGGGTAAGCCAATAACTTTATTTTATAAAAATATTACATTATTTACTTTGATCTGTTTATTAAATTTAAAAGCATTAATGGTACAATAGTTAAGAACAATAAAAGTATAAATGAAATTTTCATTATAAAAAAGCACTTAGACCCCAATATAACCCAATCATCATCAAAGCACCATCACCAGCTCTAAACATCCCCACTAAGGTCCTAAGAATCCCTAAGCTAGAACTAGGCCGTAAACCACGCTACACTTCGTGTTTACATTAAGAAACCGCATGTATGTTTTTTGTGGTAACTAACATGAGCTTTACAATTAACTAGCTGTTCCTATGCGACTTCATCCGCATGAAATTATAAAAAAATCATTTTATTGTTCACATTTGTCAAATTATCTATTGCAAATGTCAAAATGACGACATGATGTCAAACCATGATAACCTTAGTTCCTTGATGTTGGCAACAACTTATGGTCTCTTTCCCACATAAGGTTTTTTATCCAAAATATTTACCCCCTAAGTTTAATGGCGTTAAAACATATAGCCTAAAGCGTGACGCAAGTGTAGGACTATTTATTAAAAAAAGAATTATTCAATAACATACTGTGATTGCTAACATCTTAGGCAACAAAGAAGTGTGTTTACGTTTTATTAATATAGTAGAGATATAAAAATGTGTACCAGCGAAGATTGTTGTGGCTGGTTCTCTTGCGGTTGCGTTGGCGTCTGCGCCTGTGCTTGTGCTTGTGCTTGGGTCTGTTGGTTGTCAGGTCGCCAACCGGGCTGTGTGGGCGCTCCTTGCGTCTAGAAAATAACAATTTTAAATGCTTAAATAATTTTAATTAATTTCATAACCGTATAAAATAAATAATACATTAAGAATAGAAATCTTTATTCTTTATTTTGTTGTTTCCGACTAGTTGTTGCTCGCGACTTCGTCCGTACGGAATAAAAATATTAGTTAAAATAAATCCAATGTTACTCGGTATATATAATTAGTAATAATAGCCTAGGCCTAGTAGTTTTTGAGTTATTTCAATATATACGAAAATCCAAAAATACAAATCTTTCCTCTTTATAACATTAGTATCGATAAAGTACTTCAAAAGAAAATAAAATATACTTAGAATTACATTTTACCATCATTATACGATATCTTAATTTATTTTGAGTTGTAAAAATAATATAAAATTAATTACACAACTGTGATTACAAACCCCTCATTAGAATCTATTCGTGGTCATGCTTCATTTTAAATCAAAATAAAACAGTTAAAAAAAACCCTAATAACAATTTACCCACTGGCAAAAATATGTAAAACATTTCATTTGTCTAAATTACTTGACATAAACAAACATACAGAAGAATCCCAGGCTTGGTTGGGGTCCCAGGCCGCGTTGGGGTCCCACACGGGGATAGGCTCAGCGTTGTAGGCCGCGTTGTCGTACGCACCATCCGGGTTATAAGCTGCAACAGTACAAGACAAAAGACTGCAAAAAACAAAAAAAAAGACTTTAAACTGCCATTTTTACAAATATAATGTTTGAAAGATACGGGATATAATATCGGGAAATTAAACAACCCAAACATGGTAAGAAACCCGTTGTAACGAACGTCATAGGAATAACAAAATGTCGACTTCCATAGAGGGTGTTCTAATCAAGGAAATCTTAAGATATTAATCAAGTATGTATCACTATCTATTATCACTATCACATCATTATCACTACTTTTTCTACAACAGATTTAACGGAGTATTCGACGATTTTGTTCGATAGTTGTAAATAAAGTCAATCAAAATCTATGCCATTATAATAAAGCGTAAAAACACACTTCTTTGTTGCCTAAGATGTCAGCAATTATAGCAAATTTTCGAACAATCCTTTTTTAATAAAAAGCCTTACAATTCCTTCACGCTTTAGGCTATATATTTTAACGCCATTAAACTTAGGGGATAAATATTTTGGATAAAAACCCTAATGTGGGAAAGAGACCATAAGTTGCCAACATCAAGGTAGCAAGGTTGTTATCATGTCATGTCATTTTCAACAATAAAATAAAATTTTCATAATTTCATGCGGATGAAGTCGCACGGGAACAGCTAGTAATAGTATAAGGGTTATCAGGGATAGATGTATGTGTGTCAGAGTTTGTAGTCTTAACAGCTGAATGAAATTTGATATAGATGTAGAGGATAGTCTGTAAGAACACACCATTATCTAATTCCACATGGACATAAGTTATACAAATGTAGCCGCAGGTAGGAAAAGTTATAGAATCTCAGGTCGATTGCTACAGAATAAATAATTGCCAGTAGACCTACCGGTGGGTTCTTGAGGAGTTTCCTTGGTCTGTCCTTCCATCTGCGTGTATTGTTCCTCTGCGTTGGCGCCTGCGGCCGGAGGCTGTCCGCCCGCGCTTCTATACACAAACACAATACGTCTAAATGTGTGAACACTAGTTTTCGCTTTTTGTTAATTAGTAACATTCTAACAATTACCATATTTAAAAGTTTACCGCTATCGAACGCGACTGTACCTATGTTTAATTTATCAAATCTTAAATGTGTGTACAGTTCCCTTCACAAATACTCTAGCTCCACTATTTTATGAAAAACGAGCTGTTCCCATGCGGCTTCATCCACATGAAATTATAAAAACTTTATTTTATTATTTACATTTGTCAAATTCGCAATTACAAATGTCATAAATCAAATGACAACGAATGCCTTTGACATTGGATAACAATTACTGTTACCATAGTAACCTTGTTTGCTTGTAGTTTTTGTCCCTTTACCGCATGACCGTTTATTCCAAATTATTTACTCTCTAAGTACAATAGCATGATAATACGCCTAAAACATGTCATAAGTGTAGGGCTTTCTATTAAAAAAAGAATTATTCAAAAATATGCTGTAATTGCTGACATCTTAGGCAACAAAGTAGTGTGTTTACGCTTTATTATATGAGTATAGATTATAAGACCTGTAAGTGACGAGCGCCGCCTGCTCCTCGCGCGTGGGTAGTTTGAAGGGCAGCGGCAAGGTCAGCGCCCAACGTTCCAGCTCCGTGTTGAAGCGCAGCGCGATGCAGTACACGCCGTACATTATCAACATGAACAGAGCTTCCGGCCTGGTAACACAAACATTCTCGTAGACTTCTTCGTAGAACAGTCTACGATCGCTACGATAATCATAGCTAGGAGACAAAGACATTAAATAAATATATAGACTAGGCAGTGAACACATTTTTTCTTAGGTACTTTCTCTGAAAGGTACTATGCAACATGTAATAAAACATTTTACTAAACTATATTAAGATCCCTCTCATTTAAGAAACTTAACAGTGTTACAAAATGAAATGTAAACATTTATGTATTATTTAACGACATCCATTGGCAATTTATTTAAAAGCAATTGTATTAACCTATTCCTCCTCTATATGATTTTTATCTCTTTGCAGTCATAGCACCTGTACTTTAGATCTACAAGTGCTTAAGCCCAGAATGTGGATTTCCTTTATATAACTCACCAGGAGACGTATTTATTGGCGATGGTACAGAGCATAACAAGTATAGAGATGGCATAGAAGAAGCAGTCGCGGCAGAGCGGCCACCAGTTGAGGTGGCTCACCGTGCCGGCGCACAGAGCGCACACCGAGATCACGAACATTATGTTGAACACAGCCGACCCGATCACACCCGACACGCCTGCGAACAGAACATCACTGGAACACTGGCTTTAAAGAACCATGCGCAGTAGTACATAAATGAAATAAAAAATCTATACTAATAAAGCGTACACACACTACTTAGTTATTTAGGATGACAGCAATCATGACATATTTTTGAATAAATATTTCTTAATAAAAAGCCCTACCTACATGCTTTAGGCTACATTTTATAATATTAAATGTAGGGAGGAAGTATTTAAAAAGAAATCGTCAAGCGGGAAAGGGACAAAAACTACAAACCGACAACATCAAGGAAGAAAGTTTGCAAGTAACGGTAATTGTTATCCAATGTCAAAGGCTTTCCTTGTCATTTGTGCATTTGAATTTTGACATTTGCAATATGTAATTTCAAAAATGTATACAATAAAATGAAAGTTTTATAACATGCAGATGAAGCCGCACAAAAACGGCTCGTATGTAATAAATGAATAATATTGCATACCGATATCATCCTGTGCGCAGAACACTCCAATAACAACAGTGGCTAGTTCAGGAGCGGAGCTTCCAGCGGCCATGAAAGTTGCACCAGCTACGTCAGGCGCCAGCTTCAGTTCTGAAATGGTTTTATTATTAGTCTACTGTTCGACTATAACTGTAAAATTAACAAATAGTAAACATCAGCTTACTTAGTAAGTTAATAATCATACAAAGTTTGGATGGATGGATGTTTGTTAGAGTTTGTAACCTTAACTGCTAAACGGATCTGGATGAAATTTGGAATAGATGTAGAACATAATCTGAAGAACACATAGACTACTTACTTTTTTATTTCCACGCAGACGGAGTCGCAGGCGAAAGCTAGTATATTCATAATTGCGATACAATTGCTAGACTAGAATTTTTAAAAACAAGGGTTACATCCTGGAGTAGCACTCTTTTTAATCCCACACAGACATGGACCAAAGAAACCTGACGATTGGTCACTAAGCGACTTACATAATACAATCTTATAAAAGTTGGACATATGCATCGTCATTTCTATCTGTCATTGTCAAAGCTGTAGTTCGCAATCTTTCAAGAACATAGTGAGAGTTGCTGCGATTTTAAATATGGCGAAGCAAATCTCTACAGTATCTAAAAGCCTGTATTAAATAAACAAATTGCGTCGACGATTCATCGTTGTGTACTAGTCAACGTTTTACATTACCATATGTACAAAGAACACTAATTTGTATATAGTTAAACAAACCTTCACAGATCCTATCCAAGCTGCAGACAAAGTATTCATCACAGACGATAGCGAGGCCGATGAAGGTGAACACAGCTACCAGGATGTGCAGAATAAGGCCGCCGTGCTTACGCGCTGTCTGACCCATCAGAGGTTGAGGAAACTGGAATATCAAACAAGAAAAATATACTACAGAAAAGAGGTAGACTCTTCAGAATTAATAATCATGTTTGTTTTAAACATTGTCAAAAGTGAAGTTTGAAGTATTCGACTACTTGACAGTGGTAGTGCCCACTTCAATATCTTAGCACGAATGGGCCAGTACACCCGGTGTCATACCACGACCACATAGAAGACAGGCGTGAAATGGAAGCAATTTCGTGTTTCGTCTGATGAGTGTGGTGCCAGAGGCCTAATTTAAGTCCCTTTGTCTTTACCATCCTTTTCTGATAAGGAGAGGATAGGAAGAGGAAGTGGATTTGTCGGTGGAGGAGATGCATAGGAAGGGGCAATATCCATTTTATGTGCGTCTCCTCTTCCGTCGGAAAAGGGTAGGGATCGCATCTGCGATCGCGGATGTCTATGGGCAGCGCTCGCTTCGCTATTTTGGCGGATTCAGGTGGCCGCTTGCTCGTTTACTATCTTATGTTGTAAAAAAAAAATGATGTTTTATTTGCATAGTATTTACCTGTTCAATAGCAGGCGGTGTACAATTCCTCAATGGATGAACTGTAGGGATCGCATCCTCATCCTGAAGATAAAGAACAAACGTTGACAATATTTTTATGCATTACAAGATTGAATTACTAATAACTTAAATTTGCTTTCGCCCGCGACTCCGCGTGGTATTAAAAAAATCAAAACCAAGTGCTATGTGTTCTTCCAGACTATCCTCTACATGTATGTATGTACTTCTTGACCTTATTCTACATCTGTGCCAAATTCAATCGACATCTGTTCAGACTTTGAGGCTACAAACTCTAACAATTAATCCATCCATCTAAACTTTCGCATCATACTTCATACTGATATTATAAATGTGAAAGTTTAGATGGATGGATAGATATTTGTTAGAATTTGTAGCCTAAACTGCTGAACGGATCTCAATAAAATTTGGCACAGATGTAGAAGGTAGTCAGAAAGTACACATAGGCTACTTACATTATTTTTTTAATTTAAATCCATGCGGTCAAGGGCGAAAGCTAGTTTTCATAAAACAATGCACATAGGATTCAGGTAGAGAACAAAGGTTTCGAATCAAATTATGAACGAAAAAGATTTACAGATGTGTTTAATAATTTTTTTTTAATTAAAAAGTCATCATTACTGAAGAAACTGAACTAAAATCGAATATCACTTTATATACTTTAACAATTTTTTTTAATCTTTTAAATAAAACATGTACAAGGGTACTTGCATTAGTTTTAACGTAACCATCATCTTTCTGTTTCTTCTTCTCTCCCTCTTCTTCCTCTATTCCTTTGAGTCCCTTCTTGCCGCCCTCTGGTGGTATCTCACTGCTATCTTCGTCTTCGGCACCAGTCGCCGGTAGGGGGGACGAAACAATCGTATCTGAAAATAAGTACATAGAAGTTTATGTTAGGCAGTTATTCTTCTAGTGTTGCGGTTTTGTTTGGTTTACGCATCAACGTTCAGATGTTTATACAAGATAAGCGGAATTAAAAAAATGGTCGTCTATAACATTCGCGTGTACATAAACATTTCCAACAAAGTCTCGTAAAAATTATATCTTACGGAAACGTTGCTTACGGACAGACAAAAATTTTAAAATGAGATTTTCGTTATCAGCTATACAAATACGTCATCTTCGCGAAATCTTTTTCGATATTACATAAAGACACTCCAATTTTATTATATGCATGGATTAGCTAAACAAACTGATTCAGTAAGAAACATTGCGGCATTTGATACCTAAACTGTCCAATAAAAAATGTCATATACTTCTATCATGTATTATTTCCCAATTTTCACCTTTAGTAGTTCCTTTAGAGCTTGGTTCGAGGCTCGCTGGCGGAGAATCTTCACCGGTGGTCGTCAGTTTATCAATCAAGGGCGACGTGGAGGCGCTCAGTACCGCTTGGAAGATGGAGTAGGCAATAAAAAAAACTGATACAGTCAGCCAGCGATGCCGACGCGGTCTTCTCATCCTCTGTAAGCAGAAAGGAATCAGATACACAGATGTCAAGGATATATTGCCTAATCATATTATGAATGCGAAAGTTTAGATGGATGTTTGTTAGAGTTTGTAGCCTAACGGTTCAACGAATTTCGATGTAATTTGGTATAGATGTAGAGGATAGTCTGGAAGGTGTGGAAGAGGATACATGATCATAATAACTATTTTTTATACCCTGTGATTTCTACTCACTAAAAACCTCTCGGTGGCCGCCCTCAGGTGCGAATTGAGGGTCTCAGGATCTCCAGTGGAACGCACCAGTACCCTCTACACCGTGTTGCTTTCGAGGCTGCTTATTTTTGATAAGCTGAGCCCAACCTATCTACACCCAACTGAGGCCAGCCCTTAATATGATTATGATTATAATAACCTTACCATTCACGTCAATAATAAGTAATAATTAAGCCACAAGTCGCTTTTATCTTTATTAATTGGGTGCATTATTAGAGCACTATATGTTAAAGCATTATTTTAGATAAACATTTTATTAAATCATTTGAGAAATCAAGTGACAGCAAGTGACTAGTTGACATTAATTTTTTTATTTTGTTGTGGGTATAAAGATCCTTCTGAAAAGCTACCTTTAAATCATCGTATTGTTATTACTAGGGCCCCTTAAAGACGCCTTAAGTAACTCCTTAAAACGGACAATTAGTGAAAATGCCCATTAAATTACTATAATTTCATTGGTCCTGTTTCTATCTTTGTTAAATTCCCAATCTCGGGGATAAAGAAACGAAACTTTTTTACAATAAAAATCTGTTTTTCGATATCAATGTAAACAAAATGTGACTAAAATTATAAAGTGAAATACAAAATACGACATAACCTTTCTTATTATTTTCCGAAACAATTATGGAACTTATAAAAGCGACATCTATCGGTACTAAAATGTAAATCAAAATGGTAAACATTTTTTGAAGTCTGTATTAAACCATTATGCACGTAATGTAAGGCATTTGCCAGCAAAAGGCATCTCTAGAATACTATAATGACTGAAATGGAATGTCCTAGTGCTAGGAATTTATCGCTTTATTAAAATTGTAGTAGAAATAAAACAAAAGAACACGATAAATAAGCGATTCAGCTAATATCAAGAAACACTTCATACTAATGCCATAAATAAGATGCGGGGTGCATAATTTTCATTCCTTTCCTTTCTTAAGAGGAAAGGATAGGAAAAATTCGATTTGACGGTGGAGGAGATGCATAGGGAAAATGTCCTCTTTATGTGCGTCTCCTCCTTCAATCAAGGGCAGGCAAAGCTTCTGCAATTGCGGATGTTTATGGGCAGCGGTCGCTTTTCATTTCGGTGGATTCAGGTGGCCGCTTGCTCGTTTGCCACCTTATGTTATAAAAAAAAAAAAAAAGGATATTTGTTAAAAACTATCTTCAAAACGGCTTTAAGGATATAGAGGAAATGTAAAACTGCCTGGAATATCGCAAAAGTAATCTTACTAATGTTATAAATGCGAAAGTTTATACGGATGGATGTTTGTTACAGTGTCTGGAAGGGATCTGGATGAAATTTGACATAGATGTAGGGTATAGTCTGGAAAAACGCATAGGCTACTAACTTTTGTTTTAATACCACACGGACGGCGTCGGGCGAAAGCTAAGCATTAATAAGGTTATTACCGCGTTGACGAAGTCGCAGGCAAAATCTAGTAAGATAAATTGTAACATTCGAGTTATAAAGAACAATTTAAAAAACGAACACACAAACATACTGTGATCCCCTTCGTTCGCTTTAAATAAACAGAGACAACCATATGTTTAATAGCTTCGTCATTAAAATTCCTTACACAATTTCGTTTCAAACGCGTTCACATTGTATTGATCCGAAAATGTAATGAGTCAGTTTACATGGATAACCAGCGTACAGAGAACCATTGTAGGTTGTAATTTCATCCATATTTTTACAGCTTTAAGAAAACCGATAGGTCAAGTTATACTGGTTTAACAAGAAGCCCTGTAGCTTCATTGCTGTCTTCTACTTTTTTAAAGGAAATAAAAGCCATAAATTGATGAAACTATGATTCATATAGAAATTGTAAACCAATATAAATCTATACTAATGCTATAAGAAGGAAAGGTTTGTATTTTTGTATGTAAGGAATAAATGCAAAAAGTACCGGAATAATTTCCAAAATTATTTTACCATTAAACGCTGCATTATACATGAACATAGACTATATTAATTGTTATATTTTTTAATTTTCAGACGAAGTCGCGGGCAAAAGCTAATCACTGATTTTTTAAAAAAAAAGAAGAAATAAAATCTTGCTTTATTTGCTCAATCAGAAATCTTCATCTTTATCTTAAGTGGTTTAGTGATGTGATGATTCACATCGATAGATTACATCACTATATCGATAAACTTGTCGAACGCTTAAAATGTCCATTAACACACGTCACCTTTGTCACATTACCAAATTACTAGATAATGGAAACACATACAAGGACCAAATATGACGTTTGATAAGAAAAAAAAATCGTTTTAGTTTTTTCTGTTACTAACAAATTACGAGCAAAAAAGAAGTGTAGCTTGAAATAAAGTTTATTATTATTATTATAAAAGCTAACAAAGTCACTTAACAACTAAATAATCTATCTCACTCAGTGAGAATATAGTTTTCTAATGCTCAATTAACATCTGAAATATCTCAAGTAACTATGACTTTATTCGTTACATAAATACAATTTTTTTCTCTTAAAATATAAGCAAAGAAATATCCATTACTTTCATAAACACTAAATCTATACTAATATTATAAAGAGGAAAGATTTGTATTTTATATGTATTGAAATAACGCAGAAACTACTGGGTCGATTTCAAAATATCTTCACCATTAGAAAGCTATTTTATCAGTGAGTAACATGGGCTATATTTTTTAATCCAATGCGAAGTCGCGAACAACAGCTAGTCTTAACTAAAACGAGAATTTTTAATTAGCTTACTAAGATTACAAGGTAAAAGATTAGAAGAATATCTTGAAACGCTATATCTATACTATTATAACAAAGAGTAAACACACACTTCTTTGTTGCCTAAGATGTCAGCAATTACAGCATATTTTTGAATAATTCTTTGATTTAATAAGCAGCCCTACACTTACGTCATGCTTTAGGCTATATATTTTAACGCCATTAAACTTAGGAGGTAAATGTTTTGGATAAAAACCCTAATGTGTGAAAGAGACTATAAGTAGCTGCCAATCAAGGAAGCAAGGTTGTCATCATGTCATGTCATTTTGACATTTGTAATTGATAATTTGACAAATGTAAGCAATGAAATAAAATTTTCATAATTCCATGCGGATGAAGTCGCACGGGAACAGCTATATTTCAATAAAGGAAAATTCGGATTGGATTCAACGAAGATTTTAGATTAAAGAAAAGCGATTATCTTAGTAGGTTGTTCAGGAATTTGAAAGCTGACTGACCTTATCTACAACCCCCATACCCCTGCATCTCCGTTCAACCCCTGGGGAGCTATTTTTAGAACCCCGGGCGGAATTTAAATTGGAAATGTTAAGTTAACATAAATCCCGTGAAAATTATAAAACTACTAACTTTTGCACGCGATTCCGTCCGCGTCGAATTAAACAAAAGTTAGTAGCCTAAATGTTCTTCCAGAACATCCTCCACATCTATGCCAAATAATCGAGATCTGTTCAGCAATTTAGGCTGCAAACTCTAACATAAATAAAAAAAATCCTTTATTGATCTAAAACAGTTTAGTACAGTTAGTGGGACTCTGACTCTGTCTCCTGAGCTAGTAATAACTGTGTTTCTGGAGGCAGTGTCTTTTTTTAACAATTGTCTTGCGGAATTTAAAATACATGGTTACAAAATAAGATGAGAGTTATACATAAAAAAAAATATTTTGTTATAAGCTACTTGGTGTATTGTGTGTGTTTGTGTGTGTGGACGTGTGCATGCGTATGTGTGTATATATGTATGTAAGTGTTTGTTTTTGTAAAGATATGTACATATATTTATGTCATGTTTTAACTACTTTATATTTAAGCGTAACTAAGTTGTATACATTCTTTAATTTATTGAACTATTTTTAAAAAACCTTCTGTACCATCATAGTCAAGTGATATTAGTCATTGTGTGATATATAATCCAATCCATCCAAACTTTCGCATTTATTATGTAAATTAAAATAAATTGACATTTACTTTTAAACTCTTACATAAAACCGTAGGCGGAATTTAATAACTCGATTTCAATAAATATCGTTTTAATAATTAACTCTTTAATAATGAGACAGCTACTGACTTTCCATCTCTCTCTATTTTTATCAAAGTAAAAACTAAAAACTATGCACATCTATATGTGCAATAAAATTGAACCGTCTTAATGTAATATTGCAAAAAAAAGTTATGTTTCCTACACATGATGTATTTGTTACTTAACGAAAAAGAAATTTCTGTCAGTCTGTCCGTAAGCCGCGTTTGTTCTGAGTAATCTGCGAAACGAGTTGACCGATTTAGACAAGATTTTGACGTGAAGGTAGCCGATGCACGCGGGAACACTATAAACTTTTTTTTAATTCTACGCTGACCAAGGCAATGTGGATTTTTTGTATAATGTAAGGTGGCAAACGAGCAAGCGGCCACCTGAATCCACCGAAATGGAAAGCGACCGCTGCCCATAAACATCTGCAATTGCAGTTGCGATGCCTACCCTTAATTGACGGAGGCGGAGACGAACATAAAGAGGACATTTCCCCTTCCTATGCGTCTCCTCCATCGTTAAATCCACTTTTCCTTCCCATCCTTTCCACTTAAGAAAAGGGTGGAAAGGGAAAGGGACTCATCTAACGAAACGCGGAATTGCTTCCACTTCACGCCTGTTTTCTGTGTGGTCGTGGTATTATAGCGCGCGAGCCGGCCCATTCGTGCGAAGATGTTAAAGCGGGCTCTACCACTGTTAAATTATGATTTAAAAATAATACTCAA